GTACGAGCAACCTCCATGATCAGGCCAATGCGACGCTCAGCGATCCCATTTTGCTGCGGAGAGGCCGGAAGCGTGAACGACTGGGCGATGCCCTCGTCCTGACAGAACGTCTCAAGGACGCCAAAGGAGAACTCACCACCCCTGTCAGAGTGTAGACGCAGGACTGGGAAGTCCTGCTGAAAACGCTCGTGCAGCTGGAGACGAGTAGCACCGATCCAGGGGATCAAAACACCGCTGACGTCCGCCTTGCGCCGCAAGGGGAAGACGGTGGTGTAGCGTGTGTAGTCGTCAACAACCAGCAGGAAGTAGCGTTCCTGGTCCGTTCCACCGACTGGGGCCGGGCCCCACACGTCCAGGTGGAGAGTCTGCAGAGGAGCAGTGGTCGGAGGAAACTCGGAGGAGTGAGGAGCGGCGCGCTGCCGCCCCTCGACGCAAGGAAGGCACGGCGGGGCAAGCAAGCGCGGCAGGGGGGGCAGGGTCCTCGGGAGGCCAGAGACAAGGAGACGGGAGTGCATACTGCGTAGACGCTGCAGGGAGGGGTGACCAAGACGGTGGTGCCAGCGCTGAGTCTTGTGCGTGAGTACTCTGCACGAGCAAGACGCAGCTAACTGCCCCGACGCAGACGCAGTGGTTAGTGTGTACAGACTAGACCCAGGCTGTCGAGTGAACGTAGCCAGGTGACAGCCAGTCCGGGAGCATGTACAGATCGCCACACGCTGCCCTCCTGGAATAAAGGTATCAACCCAGACATCCTGAATGGCAGCGTTGCTCACCAAGTTCGTCGAGAACGTGGGGAGGTGGAGACCTGACAGAGAGCCGGAGGGGACTGCTGGACAAGGGAGGACCGTGGAGGCTCTCGCAACTACAGGGCCCCCAGAGGGGTCAGCCAGTGAGACTGGGACAGGTGCTGCAAGTGGTGTGACTGTGGTGCAATCACGAAAGAAGCAACGTGACGCACCTGAGTCAAGCGTGAAAGTGTGCAAGACCTCAGCGGAGGCAGGACCTGTGGCAGTAGACGCACTAGCACCTAGAGCGTCGGCAGACTCACGGGCACCTACAGTTGCAGCAGACTCCCTAGCACCTGGAGCGGCAGCAGACTCACTAGCACCTGGAGTAGCAGCCTTAACACAACGATAACCTCCACCACCAGGCCTGCCTCGCTGAACAACCCACTCACGAAGCTGCTGAGGGGTGGGGTCGTCCGAGAGAGGCAGTGCCCGCTGCTGTCCACTCCTGGCCGCAGCAACTGCCGCGATAGTGGCCATGACAGACAGCGACGGTCAGGAGTAAGTCCAGCACCTCCAGCTCCTCCAGCAACAGCAACACCTCCAGCACTCCCAGCAGCACCTCCACCAGTAGCAGCAGTAGCATGAGTAGCAGCAGCAGTAGTAGTAGCAGCAGCAGGGCGGCTCAATGGGGCTGGGCGGCCGCACCTCCAGCACTCCCAGCAGCACCTCCACCAGCAGCAGCAGTAGCACGAGTAGCAGTAGTATATATATATATATATATATTTTTAGGGTTTAGGGTTGCGCGCGACCCACGGGCTGCAGGGGCGACGCGCGGCTCGGCAGGGCGGCGCGCGGGCTGCAGGGGCAGCGCCCACGGGCTGCAGGGGCGACGCGCAGCTCGGCAGGGCGGCGCGCGGGCTGTAGGGGCGGCGCGCGGCTCGGCAGGGCGGCGCCCAGGCTGCAGGGGCGACGCTCGGCTCGGCAGGGCGGCGTGCGGGCTGCAGGGGCAGCGCCCACAGGCTGCAGGGGCGACGTGCGGCTCTGCAGGGCGGCGTACGGGCTGCAGGGGAAGCGCACACGGGCTGCAGGGGCAACGCGCGGCTCGGCAGGGCGGCGCGCGGGCTGCAGGGGCAGCGCCCACGGGCTGCAGGGGCGACGCGCGGCTCTGCAGGGCGGCGTACGGGCTGCAGGGGCAGCTCCCACGGGCTACAGGGGCAACGCGCGGCTCGGCAGGGCGGCGCGCGGGCTGCAGGGGCAGCGCCCACGGGCTGCAGGGGCGAACTCGCGGGCTGCAGGGGCAGCACGCGGGCCAGGGGCAGGCACGGCTGCAGGGGCAGCACGGTCGCAGGGGCAGGCACGGCTGCAAGGGCAGCACGGTCGCAGGGGCGAGTACGGCTGCAGGGGCAGCACGGTCGCAGGGGCGAGCACGGCTGCAGGGGCAGCACGGTCGCAGGGGCGAGCACGGCTGCAGGGGAAGCACGGCCGCAGGGGCGAGCACGGCTGCAGGGGCAGCGCGGTCGCAGGGGCAGCACGCGGGCTGCTAGGGCAGCGCGGCTGCAGGGGCAGCGTAGGAAGAAAAACTTTACGGTTAGGGCAGGGCGGAACGTTCGGTGGGCCCTAGGAACGATTCTGCTCTAATACCATGTTAGAATAACCAGGCAGGAATGAATGAGTGAACTAGGCAAGAGGTGAGTACAAGTAGGGGAAACCTAACCCTAAAGTGTTGTACTCCCTAAGGAGTGACCCTACTGTAGCCTAGAGATACTGTCAGTAGAGCTGCACTGTGAGATCCCCGATCGATCCTAGGGGGGGTTACAGGCGCGTATGCCTGGGGGGTTATGGGCGCACTGACCCGCTACTTAACAAGCCCTTTTATCCCAATGGTCTAGTGGTTGGGATTCTGACATGGTATCAGAGCGGTCTCGGGTTCGAATCCCGGTGTATGCACATGTAGGCCGTTGCCGCTGTGCTCAGTCCTGGGCCTCCCATTGTGGGGGGGTGTCAGTAGAGCTGCACTGTGAGATCCCCGATCGATCCTAGGGGGGGTTACAGGCGCGTATGCCTGGGGGGTTATGGGCGCACTGACCCGCTACTTAACAAGCCCTTTTATCCCAATGGTCTAGTGGTTGGGATTCTGACAGATACAATTGTAATTTGACAAGTAATACTGTTTCTTTCCATTGTAGCTTTTGTGACTCAACTAGTGAATCATTGCAATCCTGTCCCAATCTTGGTGGGCTGCTCTTTTACGGTACGGTTGTAAAAACACATAACTGCATGCTGTTCTGTACTCCCTATGACAGTAATTTTCTCCCCTTTTATCATTAAGTGCAAACATCAAGCAAGCAAACAATCAGAGTATTTCAGCTCTGAGCAAGAAGACAGTTTATCCCACCAAGTAGAATGCCATTACAAGAGCAGCGCATCAATATTGTAACAGGAAAGTCAAATAACATCAATTCTGCTATGATGAGAAGGAAACAAGACTGTACTTCATCGAACATCAAAGGACAGGAAGGACAGGTAGGGCAGCGAGAGGAGAGTTAGGGGAGAGGAAGGGAAGAAGGGAGAGGGGGGAAGAGAAGCAGAAAACTACTTGCTACCAGAAAGGTTCAACTGCACCATCCAAGATATTTCTCCCGATGCCATGCAACTGAATTTCGACCTTCGTGGCCCTCTTCCACTGTTTCAATCAAACTTCGAATCTTTCTTGGACTTGGAAATCTTGAAGTCTTTCTAGCCAGAGCCTCCAATTTCCCACAGAAGGCACTTGAAGGATTTGGCTATACCATAAGGAAGAGATCTGTTGAGAGAAAGAAAAAAAAAATGAAGAACGCAGAAAGTTGGTGTTCGTGCATATGATGTGGAATAATGGCTACAAAGAGAGGGAACATGACGGCTGGAGACAGAAAATCCAAAGCACTGGAGGGCAGACATAAAGCAAAAGACCAGCCAAGAGGGGCAGGGAGAGGGAGAGGGGGGGGATGGAGAGGGAGGCGGGAAGGGGAGGGGGGGGGAGAGGAGGAGAGGGAGGGGGAGAGGGAGAGGGAGGGGGAGAGGGAGAGAGAGGAGGGAGAGAGAGAGAGAGAGAGAGAGAGAGAGAGAGAGAGAGGGAGAGAGAGAGAGAGAGAGAGAGGAGAGAGATAGAGAGAGAGAGAGAGAGAGAGAGAGAGAGAGAGAGAGAGGAGAGAGGAGAGAGGGAGAGAGGGAGAGAGGGAGAGAGGGAGAGAGGGAGAGAGGGAGAGAGGGAGAGAGGGAGAGAGGGAGAGAGGGAGAGAGGGAGAGAGGGAGAGAGGGAGAGAGGGAGAGAGGGAGAGAGGGAGAGAGGGAGAGAGGGAGAGAGGGAGAGAGGGAGAGAGGGAGAGAGGGAGAGAGGGAGAGAGGGAGAGAGGGAGAGAGGGAGAGAGGGAGAGAGGGAGGGAGGGAGGGAGGGAGGGAGGGAGGGAGGGAGGGAGGGAGGGAGGGAGGGAGGGAGATAGGGAGAGAGGGAGGGAGGGAGGGAGGGAGGGGGAGAGGGGGAGAGGGAGGGAGGGAGGGAGGGAGGGTGGGAGGGAGGGAGGGAGGGAGGGAGGGAGGGAGGGAGGGAGGGAGGGAGGGAGGGAGAGAGAGAGAGAGAGAGAGAGAGAGAGAGAGAGAGAGAGAGAGGGAGGGAGAGAGAGAGAGAGAGATAGAGAGAGAGAGAGAGAGAGAGAGAGAGAGAGAGAGAGAGAGAGAGAGAGAGGCACCTTGCCTCTGCCCTCTCCCTTAGCCCTCTGCCCTCTCTGTTCCTTAGTATAAGAGGCCTCTCAAGACCTCTTGCCTCTCATTATTCAGTGGTGTGGCAGAATTTTTTCGCTCGCCTTGTTCGTTCGAGAGAGCGAGAGAGAGAGAGAGAGAGAGAGAGAGAGAGAGAGAGAGAGAGAGAGAGAGAGAGAGAGAGAGAGAGAGAGAGAGAGAGAGAGAGAGAGAGGCACCTTGCCTCTGCCCTCTCCCTTAGCCCTCTGCCCTCTCTGTTCCTTAGTATAAGAGGCCTCTCAAGACCTCTTGCCTCTCATTATTCAGTGGTGTGGCAGAATTTTTTCGCTCGCGTCGTCCGCCTTCGGCGGCCGACGCTCGACAGCGCGGCCTTCGGCCGCGCGTGAGGGGACGGCAAGGGAAAGGCGCAACAAGCATTCATAAACAAGACATGCATACAAGCGGGGTCATCAACACACGGGCCTAGGAGAGACATGGAGCGGACAAGTGCGGAAGCTACAACCGATCCGCCACCCGCGGATCACGCGGCACCAAATACTACATCTGATCCGCATCAAGGACGGCAAGCAAGCCCGTCAACGAACGATGAAGCTCGCGCACCACCACTGTGGTTGCGCCGATCAGGTCGACTGCAGTCGCTGCGCGCACCGCCCGGCGCAAACCACGGAGCGCAGTCCCAAGCTGTCCAACGCCCGCAACTCCACCCCGTGCAGGCGCAGCCAACACGGACGCAAGGAGCTCGGCAAGCCGGTCAGAGGCATCCGAGCACTCGTCCAGAGGGCCGCCTTCCAGAGGCACGCCGCGAGAAAGTGCCGCGTGACAATACACCTGGATCAAGTGAACGGCCCGCAAACCCTCAGAGAGGCGCCAAAGCTGCCCCAGGGACGCCTCAGGCACATCCGCCGAAGGAATTGGCCCCACAAGCGGGTGCACTGGAAGATCAGCATACGCAGGAGCAGGAGCCACAGGCAGTAGAGTTGGATATTGCGGAGTCACCGGCCCTCCCCCCAATGACACGAACTCCACGCCCGCCACAGGAGGAACCCACGGCAGGCGCAGACGGTTCCCACGTGCAGCAACAGATGGTTCGGGAGCGCGAGGAGAAGGAGCGGCATGACGGGCAGCTGGAGAAGGACCGCCAGGACGTGGCGCCGCATGCTGCGGGTGATTCGGGCCTGCCACGTCAGCTTGCGCGTCACGCACCGCCGACGTTACCAGCTGTCGGATTTCCGCCGGAGTCATCGGGGGCTCCTCTAGGGGAGCACCACGCCCATAGCCGCGACCCCCCCACCAGCTACCACGACCGCCGGGACGCGCGGTCCAGTTCCCCTGGGATCGGCGGCCCCGAGGAGAATCCTGTCGGCGCCGCGACGATTCCCTCTCATCATGCAGGAGAGGCGAATGAGGACGGGACGGGCGGCGGCCAGGTGACTGAGGGCGACGAGGCTGCCCGGTCGGAGCAACCGGAGGCGCCACAGGCGTCGACTGCACCTCCGCCAGGCTCGGGCCGGCGTTGGTGGTTAGAGGTGGCTGGTAAGACGGGCCCGCCGCAGCAGCAGAAGGCGCCACGGCGGGTGCAGCCAGTGGCGGCAGGAGGGCTGCCCCAACAGCCGTCGACGACGCCGCGACAACAGGCGCGGATGGAGGCACCTCCGCGGGGACAAGTGGAACCACCAGGGCAGGCTCAGGAAGATACGCAGTATCAGACGCCGCAGCGGGCGCGGGAGCGGACGCAGGAGCAGACGCCGAGGCGTGCGCATGAGCAGGCGCTGATGCAGGTGGGGGACCAGGCGCCACAGCGGGCGCAATTAACGACGCCACGACAGGAGCGGGCGCCACAGCAGGAGCAGGGACCGGGCCAGCCTGAGTCACGGACGACGGCGCGGACCGAGGTGCGTGAGGAGGCACCATCCCCTCAGCCGCTGGTGCTGGGGCCGACAAGGTCGGAAGGGTAGCTGCAGCAGACGCCACGACAAAGGGCCGTGGCGAATACGAATAATCGTCGCCCACCGACACCGGCATCGCGGGGCGGACGAGGCGGCAGACGAGGAGTTACGACGGAGAGGGGAGGGGGAACAGAAAATGGCTTCCAGGGGGAAGCTCGCCGCGCCTTAACTCGAAGAGTGGAGAACACTGAAGCTGAGGAGGAGGCAGGAGATCCAACGCTTATAGCGGAGGAGGTGGAAGAATCCACCACAGAAGAATCGGGGGAGTTAGAGGAGGAGGAACGGGAAGGCAGACGTCGGGCAAACCCAACACCACGCCGAGCCGCTTCATTTCCAGCAGCAACAGGTGGCGAATTAAACCGGACGGTACCGGACACCACGGCATCAGAGACCCGCCAATTCTCGCCTGAACAATTGGCCATGGACCTGGTGCGGTTCGGCGAGGTGGAATTATGGGACCTGACCCCTCTTCGCGACAGTCGTCAGCCCCCACTCTCGCGCAAACTCCCTGCTGACATTCGCCCACTATTCGCCACAGCCCTCCTGACACCACTCCTTCACCTCGCGCGTAACCCTGCGTCAGTCGCAGGCTGGCGCCTGCTACTCTTTCTCCCGCGCCTCACCCTTCGCCTCGCCTCAACGGAGAAGCCTGATTGGCCGGCGGTCAAGAGCCGACTTCGCCAATTTAACAAAGGCGAATGGCAGCAACTTTACGATTCAGCTGTTACCGCAATCACTGGACCACACCCGCCTCGCCACACGCCAGATGCCCTCGGGAAACGTGCCAGGGCAGAAGGCCTCGCACGAAAAGGAAGCCTTCGCAGGGCGATCCTCGCCCTCGAGTCAACGCCGGTCGCTGACCCATCTGCACCCATCCTCGCCGCTCTCAAAGCAAAACACCCCCCCGCGCCACCTGGCATCATCGATTGGAACGTCCCCGATACTGTGCAAGCGGCGTCGATCGAAAAAGGGGACTTCATTAAACTGTTGTGCCGTTGTGAGAACGGGGTGGGAGGAGGACCGTCGGGTATGACATTTGACCCATCCATGGCGACCCATTCATCCAACCATCCATCTATTCATCCGTCCTTCCTTCCATCCATCCATCCACCCACCCATCCACCCAATCACCCGTTATCACCCTCAAGGTGCAACGTCATGCCCGATAAGGCCATGTCATCCTCCTCAACTCACCTCACCCTGCTCTAATCTCTCTCACTCTCCCCCAATAACTCTCCCCCGAGTCCTTCCAATACGTCTCTCCCCCCTTACCCCCCATAACCCCCATTCCCCACCCCCCTCAGGTACAACTTCATGCCCTTGGCACGCGGCACGGCCATGACAGGCCATGTCATAACGCTCGGCCTGCTCCCTAACCAAATACTTTCTCCCTCTCCCCGCATACTCCCCGCCCCCCTCAGGTACAACTTCATGCCCTTGGCGCGAGGTACAGCCATGACAGGCCACGTCATCACGCTCGGTCTGCTCCTCGCCATCGACCTCCACGCCTCCCAGCCCATCCCTCCTGCCGTCCAGGTGCAGTGAACCTTGATGGCCGCCGGTAGTGGTCGACTTGGGTGCCGAAGCCGCAGGTGGAATGCATGTATGCATGCGTGTAAGAAACAGGGACTTTGGGGTTTGAGATGCATGTTTGAAGAATCGTCGCGACTCTCCCCGCTTGTCCTTCCCTTCCCTTCCCTGCATAAGTGCCTCATTAACTCTCCATCCCCACTGTGCAGGTTGACTGGTAGTCCATCCTGTGCCCCTCAGCCGCCCTCTTCCTCCGCTCCGTCTCCTCCTGGCTCTACCCTTCTCTCACCCATGAGCCGCGCCTGAAGGAGCTTATGAGTGTTGAAGATGCATTCCCTTCCCTGGGTGACGTGGTGGAAGTGCTCAGTGCTGCGGTGGGGGAGGAGAGAGAGGAGATTGGAAAGGAGAGGGGAGAGGATGCGGGTGAAGAGGGGGGAAAGGAGGGGGGAATGCACGGGAGAGAGGAAGGGGGAGAGGAGGAAAGACGAGGAAGCAGGGGTGGAAAACAACGGCGTGGAGGGGCGTTGGAAGGAAGGGATTTGGTGACAGGAGACGAGTTTAGTGAAGGGTCAAGCAGTGGGAGTAAGAAGATGGATGGGGTGCGTGAGAAGAAATTGGAAGGAAATGTGGCTGAGGTTAAGGTTAAGGGTGGGGAGGAGAGAGAATCTGGGGAGAGGGAGGAGAGTGAGGGTGGGAAGAGGGGACGGAGAGGGGGACGCAGGGCACAGAGGGAGAAGGAAAGAAGGGAGAGGGAAGAGCGGTTGCGAGAGGAGAAGAGAACAAGGGAGGAAGGAGCAACCGAAGGGAAAGGGGAGAAGCACAGAACCGAGGGGAAAGAGAGGACGCAGGAGCTAGAGGAAGAGGTTGAGAGTGAGGGAGATGGGATAGGAGGCAAAGGGAGAGGGTTGGCAGGCGGTGATAGGGAAAGGGGAGGGGAGGCAGATGAGGACGATAGGGCAGGAGACCGAGGTGGTGAGACAGCAGACCGAGGTGGTGAGACAGCAGTGGAGGAAGGGATGGAGAAGAGGGGGAGGAGAGGGAGGGGGCGGAGAGAGGAGAGGAGATTGAGGAGGGAGAAAGGGGAGGAACGAGAGGAAGAGGGGGGTGGTGTGGAGGAGCATGAGAACGAGGCAAAGGGCAAGGGGGACGTAAAGGTAATCACTGCAGGCACATCTACTATCAAGGACATTGAGAAGGACGGGGAGAGGGAGAAGGAGAAGGAGAAGGAGAAGGAGAAGGAGAGGAAGGAGAAGGAGAAGGAGAAGGAGAAGAAGGAGAAGGAGAAGGAGAAGGAGAAGGAGAAGGAGAGGAAGGAGAAGGAGAAGGAGAAGGAGAAGAAGGAGAAGGAGAAGAAGGAGAAGGAGAGGGAGAAGAAGGAGAAGGAGAAGGAGAAGAAGGAGAAGGAGAGGGAGAAGAAGGAGAAGGAGAAGGAGAAGAAGGAGAAGGAGAGGGAGAAGAAGGAGAAGGAGAGGGAGGAGAAGGAGAAGGAGAGGGAGGAGAAGGAGAAGGAGAGGGAGGAGAAGGAGAAGGAGAGGGAGGAGAAGGAGAAGGAGAGGGAGAAGAAGGAGAAGGAACACAAGAGAGAGAAGATGGTAAAGGAGAAGGGAGAACAAGAGATGGCGGCAGCTGCAGAGTCCAGGCGGTATTCAGCCAAGGGGAGAGCTGGTGCCCGTCCAAAGAAGCGGTGGGGCAGCGACGTGACTCTCGAAGCAGCAGTGGGGCTGGTGAGTGGCAGTGGGGCTGGTGAGTGGCAGTGGGGCTGGTGAGTGGCAGTGGGGGGGTGAGTGGCAGTGGGGCTGGTGAGTGGCAGTGGGGCTGGTGAGTGGCAGTGGGGCTGGTGAGTGGCAGTGGGGGGGTGAGTGGCAGTGGGGCTGGTGAGTGGCAGTGGGGCTGGTGAGTGGCAGTGGGGCTGGTGAGTGGCAGTGGGGCTGGTGAGTGGCAGTGGGGGGGTGAGTGGCAGTGGGGGTGGTGAGTGGCAGTGGGGGGGTGAGCAACACAGCTGGGTCACTGATAGGAGTTCTCAAAGGGGATTGCTTGCAGGCACTGAGAAGTTTAAGCAGTCTATTGCTACACGTCCTTGTGCACACAAATCATCTCATCTCATCTCATCTCATCTCATCTCATCTCATCTCATGTCTAATTCCTCAAACCTCATCGTTGCTTTCCAGCTGCATTCTGTCACACACACTGTCAAAAACATTGCCAAAATTCCACTTCCCTGCACTCTTATTCCACACTGCTTGATGATTCCCTTGCTTCACTGCGTTTCCCTTGTCCTTCATTTCCGTTACCTCGCGCTTCCTGTCAGGCTCAAGCAGGCAACTACGAGGCTGCCATTGAAGCATTTGCACAGGTTGCCTTCCCTCCCCTCTCTTTTCCTCCCTGCCCCTTCGCTTCCCTCTCCTTCCCTTTCCCTTCCCGTTTCTTTCCCGTCCCTCCCCTTCTCTTTCCTTCCCTTCCCTCCCATTTCCTTTCCCATCCGTTCCCTTCCCTTCGTTTTCCTTCCCTTTGCCTTCCCTTCTCTTTCCCTTCCGTCCTTCTCTTTTCCTCTCTTCCCTTCCCATCCCTGCACACTGTCTTGTCTCTCGATCCCTCCGTGAGTCCCGTGCCTTTTATCCTCATTGCCGCAGTCTTCAACAGCATCTCTAACCCTCAGTTGTCTATGCCGTCTTGTATGTTGAACCTGACATTAGTCTTCTCGAGCTTTACTGTAGTGTTTATCAGTTAACAGTTTCATCAGCAGGCATCTATCGATATTCTGAAGTAGCCCTCCTCACCTTCCCCCTGTCGCTCCCCTCCTCCGTACATTGAATCCCACCAGCTGGAGGAGCAGGGAGAGGAGTCGGCAGGGCTGCTGGCGTGTAGGGGCCATTGCTGCCCCCTCATATCCTCCCCTCACCTACTTCCTCCCCTCCAAATGCCACCAGTTGGAGGAGCAGGGAGAGGAGGAGTCGGCAGGGCTGCTGGCGTGTAGGGGCCATTGCTGCCCCCTCATATCCTCCCCTCACCTACTTCCTCCCCTCCAAATGCCACCAGTTGGAGGAGCAGGGAGAGGAGGAGTCGACAGGGCTGCTGGCGTGGAGGGGGGCGGCCAACTCCCTCACAGGCCACCACACGCAGGCCATCACCGACCTCACCAAGGTGCGACACTGACCTCACCAAGGTGCGACACTGACCTCACCAAGGTGCGACACTGACCTCACCAAGGTGCGACACTGACCTCACCAAGGTGCGACACTGACCTCACCAAGGTGCGACACTGACCTCACCAAGGTGCGACACCGATCTCACCAAGGTGCGTCACCGACCTCACCAAGGTGCGACACTGACCTCACCAAGGTGCGTCACTGACCTCACCAAGGTGCGACACTGACCTCGCCAAGGTGCGACACTGACCTCGCCAAGGTGCGTCACCTCGCCAAGGTGCGTCACCGACCTCACCAAGGTGCGACACTGACCTCACCAAGGTGCGACACTGACCTCACCAACGTGCGACACTGACCTCACCAAGGTGCGACACTGACCTCACCAAGGTGTTAGAATTTAGCATAATGTATGTTTATATTTGTGCATGTGTTACACCCTAAAGTGGGTGTACACTTTGGGTCAAGGTGACCCAACCAATTTTGGTTGGGCGCCCTCAAACCCAACTCGACCGCAATTGACGGGGGGGGGGCAATAATGGTCCCCTCCAACGATTGTTGGTTACCCCAGCAATTGTTGGTCGACCCAATCTGATTGGTCCACCAATAAATGCTGAGGGTACCCCACTTCGTTCCCAAAACTTCTCATCTCCTATATGTACCGACACTCTTTCTAATCAAGACAACACTTGAGATTCTTTCATGGTATTCAGAGCCAATTGGCAAACGCCCCTCTCGACCTCTTTCTCTCATGTTTTTTTTCCTCCCCGCTCGTCAGGACCCTTCCGTCCTGCCCATGCAACTTGTTGCGTGGGTTTGACTTGGTTGAAGTTCAATCTTCCGTAAAGTACAACCAGTCACCACCTCCCTCCAGCTCCTACTCTATCTCTCGTAAGGCGAATTTCTCGCCTCAGCTCCTGCCGCCGCATTTACGTTCTCAGCTGCCGGCGTCTCAATCGCCGCGACCTATCCGCCGTCGCCACTACTCTCGCACCGCTTTTCTTCCTTGCGGGGCATTTCGCCGCCGCCGCCGCTGCTTCACTCGCCGCGGGGCATTTCGCCGCCGCCGCCACTGCTCCCACTCGCCGCGGGGCATTTCGCCTCCGCCGCCACTACTCCACTCGCCGCGGGGCATTTCGCCGCCGCCGCCACTGCTCCCACTCGCCGCGGGGCATTTCGCCACCGCCGCCTCTGCTCCCACTCGCCGCGGGGCATTTCGCCGCCGCCGCCACTGCTCCCACTCGCTGCGGGGCATTTCGCCTCCGCCGCCACTGCTCCCACTCGCCGCGGGGCATTTCGCCTCCGCCGCCACTCCTCCACTCGCCGCGGGGCATTTCGCCGCCGCCGCCACTGCTCCCACTCGCCGCGGGGCATTTCGCCGCCGCCGCCACTGCTCCCACTCGCCGCGGGGCATTTCGCCTCCGCCGCCTCTACTCACTCGCTGCGGGCAATTTGCCGCCGCCACTGCCTCTCCTCGCTGCAAGACACTTCGCCGCGGCTGCTCCTACTCTCCCTCGCCGCCAGGCACTTAGCTACTGCCTCATCTCTTCCTCCCCGCCGCTCCCTCGACCCTTCCCCCCCCCCCCCATTGCTTCCGCCCACCGTTTCCTCTCCCGCTGCCTCTCTCATACTATCTCTGCTCTCCGCCTCTCCTGCCACGCTACTGCTCCCAATCCTCTCCCACGTGCTGCTACTAACCCCCCTCCTCCTCTCCCTCAGCTTCTAACCTGCCTCGCTTTCGCTCGCTACTAACATTTTTTCTCCCCTCACATCGCACTAACTTACTGCTATGGCTGCTCCTTCTCTTCCTCAGAATTTCAACACTCTCTCCATTGATCGGCTCGAGCTCGCTCCCGATCAGAGCGCTATCAACTGGTACTCCTACACAGGGAGCATGTGCCGCCTCCTCGGCGTCATCCACATCCCCAACACCTCCTCCACCCTCCTCGACCTTGTCCTCCGCCATGCTGCCGCTCTCCCGCCAACGCCCCCTATGTCCCCTGGATCGGCCCCTACTCTCCCGCCTGACCCTGGACCTGAACCTGACGAACCAGATCTGCCCGCTGCCTCCACGGATCCTGTTCGCCAAGCCGCTGATGAAGCAGCCTACGATCTCGAGCGGCGTCGGTTCCTCACGCTCCGAGCGGACCATCGTGCGGCTCGCGAGCAATACGACATGCGCCAAGCTGCCATAATAAATCACCGCACCATGGCTGACCGCTACACTCTCGCGCTCGCTGAATATACCGCTAAAGCTGCTGCTTGGAAGGAATCTGACCTTTCTGCCTCTAATATTATCCTTGGTGGTCTCCCCCCCGCTCTAATGCGAGACTTTCAGGAACAAGAGCTTCACGCACCTGCCCTTTGGGCCTCCCTTCACGCCATGTTTGAGCGCCATGACGTCAACTCCGTGGGGCTGCTCCTTGACGAATACTGGGAGACAACGCTCGCAACCTGCACTGGTGCCGTCGCCTACACCGGCCGCATGACCTCTCTCGCCAAGCGACTTAAGGCTCGCCAGTCCGAACTCCCCCAGTTCATCCAGATAGATCGCCTTCTCCGCGGTCTCAACCCGTCCTACGACATGCACGTCATTGCCTTCCGCGAAAATCAGCCGTTTGCGGATGTTGCTGCTGTTGTTCAATGGATCATTGACACCGAAACCCGCCTCCTTCGTACCAACCCGCCTTCTCTCAACACGGCTCAAGCACCCGCGCCAGAACTCAACGCCACCCAGACACGCGGTGGTGGGCGTGGTGGTGGTCGCGGTGGCGGACGTGGAGGTGGGCGTGGTGGCGGCCGTGGTGGTGGACGTGGTGGCACCTTTGGTGGACGCACTCCTTCTTGCACGGGCGGCCCTGGAGGAAGTGGACGTGGTGGTAGCGGACCTGGTCAACTCCCCCCCTGCCCCTACGTTCGCCGTCACGGCCCTCGCGCTGGGGAACCCTGCGGTCAAACCAACCACCCCATAACCACCTGCTTCGGCGTCTTAGACGATGCCTGGTTTGATCGTGGTAACCATGGTACCCCCCCCCGCTGGTCCGCTCTTGCAAGTCGTCCCACTGTCCATGATGTTCAACATCTCCCTCTCTATCAACCCTCCCACCTTAACCTCACCACTCCCTCTCCTCAACTGCAACTCCAGCAGTTTTTGCAGCATCTTCAGTCACAGCAGTTGCAGCAGCCCCCGCAGCTGCCCCCACAGCCGCAGCCGCACCAGCAGCCACAGCAGCCGCCCTGGGGAGGTGGGGGAGGCGCAGCCGCCACAGCAGCGGCAGCGGCAGCAGCAGCAGCAGCAACTGCCGCCTGGCAGCAGCAACCTCTTGGCTTCGGTTCTGCCGCCACCGCCGCCCATACCTCCCCAGCTGAGTCATACTCTAGCTTTCTTGGTCAGCTAGCTTCTCCCTTGCCTAGCACTACCTCCATGTATCCCTCTGTTCTTAATAACAGTGACTTCCAGTATTCTGCGTCTCCTTCCCCGCTCACCTTGGACTTTGTCCTCGATAGCGGGGCCACCGTCAGTGCCCTGAAGGACGCTGGCATTCTCAAAACACTATCTCTCCCCTCCACTGTTCATGGCGCTGATTCTAGCTTCTCGATCCCATGCACACACTCCTCTACTCTTCCGTGTCCCCTCTTTCCCTCCGGCACTATCACTGGCCTCCACATTCCCACTCTTCGTCACAACCTTATTTCTCTTCATGATCTCCAAAAAGCCGGCATTACCGCCATTTTTCCTGCCCACTTTTCCTATTGCGATCTCATTCATACCTCCACTGGCCGCCTTGTCTATCGCCTCCCAATCTGCCCCCGCACTCACCTTTACACACTACGTCTCCCTTTTCCGGCATCATGTCATCTCACCACCCGTCGCTCCACCTACCCTTCTCCCACCATTGCTCCTCCCCCTTCATCATCTCCCACTCCCTCTACCTCTCCCGACCTCTCCCTCTCTCACCCCGCCATTCTCCTCCATCACCGTCTTGGTCACCCCAACTTCACCACCCTCCGTGCCGCAATATCCTCTCGCCTCCTTCATGGGCTCCCCCCTGCCCTTCCTCCCCTACCCACCTCACCAGCTCCTCCTTGTCCCACTTGCATTCATGGCAAACTCAAACAAAAACCCCATCACAGCCATCCCTCATTTGCTACTGCTCCCCTAGATCTCGTCCACATGGACCTCTGGGGTCCCTCCCCCTCCCCTTCCCGCCAGGGCCACCGCTTTATGCTCGTCCTCGTAGACGACCATAGCCGCTACTCCTCTGTGTTTCTACTCCACACGAAAGCTGAAGCAGCCGCTGCCATCATCGCCTGGGCCGAACAAGCGCGCGTGCACTTCGGCCGACCCATCCGTCGCCTTCACTCTGACGGTGGCGGGGAGTTTCTCAACCATACCATTGCCTCCTACTGCAAAGCACATGGCACTCAACAGACGTCCACTCTCCCTCATTCTCCGCAACAAAACGGTGTAGCTGAAAGTCGCATCCGTGAGATCACCAAAACTGCCCGCTGTCTCCTCACCCATGCATCTACCCCTCCCTCCCTTTGGGGCTATGCTCTCACTCATGCCGCCCTTCTCACCAACCTCTACCCTCACCCCCACCATCCCAACCTCACTCCCACTGAGCTTTGGTGCAACTCCAAACCTGATGCCTCCGTCCTTCGCGTCTGGGGCTGCAAATCCTTTGTTCTCATTCCTCCCGCAGACCGTTCCCGCAAAGCAGGAAAACTTGCCTCCAAAGCATTGGAGTGCGTCTACCTCGGCCACAATCGTGGCTCTCCTGGGTACCTCTTCCTTCATCCTCCCTCCGGACGCCTCATTCGCAGCCGCGATGTCGTCTTTGATGAAACCATCCCCTACTACTCCTCTCCTCCTCCCTCCGACCCTCTCCCCCCACCCTCCCGCCCACTCACCTGGGCGGATGCCCTTCTTCCTCCTCTCCTCCCATCTGCTCCACTCCTCCCAACTACTCCACTCTCACCTCCACCTTCCTCGGCTGATATCTATGATCCTGCTGCCTCACCTGCCCTTTCCACCGCTCCCCCTCCTCCCTCTCCCCCTCCTCCCTCCCCTCCCACCCACCTCCCTCCAGCTTCTCCTCCTCCATCCTCGCCCGCCGCACCTCCTGCATCCTCCCCACGTCCTCGCACTTCTCTCACCTCACGCTCTCCCTTCCTCCTCCCACGCATGCACACTCGCTCCCTTGACCCCATTCTTGGTCAACCACCTCTCATTCATGAAGACTCCCATGAGGAGTTTTGTGCCATTCACACTCACGTTCCTTCCCTTAACCCTGTGTACCTTGCCCTTTTGGGCGCGGTTGTACTTGGCACTCCCTCCTCACCTCTCATCTTCACGCCTACCACATTCCAGGAGGCAATCACGTGCCCTGACGCTGACAAATGGCTGGAGGCCATTCGCAAGGAGTGCAACGCCTTCATTCGCAATGATTCCTTCGTCGATGTCAAGCCGCCTCCAGATGCCAACATTGTCGCTGGCAAGTGGGTCTTCCGGGTGAAGCAGCTTCCGGGGGAGGAGCCCGTCTACAAAGCCCGTTACTGCGCCAAGGGCTTCACACAGACCTATGCCAAGGACTTTTGGGAAACCTTCTCACCTACCGCAAAATTCGGGACCCTTCGCACGCTTCTCGACTTTGGCTCCCGCAACGGCATGGAGATCTCATCAATGGATGTCTCTAACGCTTTTCTTCAGGGGAACCTCCACGAACAAATCTTCCTCGACCGCCCAGATGGCTTCCATGAAGCCTTCCCACCAGACACTGTCTGGGAACTACGCCGTCCAGTCTACGGCCTGAAGCAGGCTCCTCGGGAATGGCATGCTAAGCTGGCATCTACACTCTGTGCTCTCGGATTTCAACCATCTCACTCTGACGCCAGTCTCTTCATTCGGACCCGTCCCAGCCGCTTCTTCGTCCTAGTCTATGTTGACGACATGGTGCTCCTCGCCGACACCTCCGCCGACATGACCGACGTTAAGGAAGAACTACAAGCTCGTCTCCAGTGCAAGGACCTTGGCGAATTACGCCACTACTTGGGCATGGAGATCACACGCGATCGAGCTGCCCGCACCATCACCTTATCTCAATCTCACTATCTTCAGCAGGTGTTGGAGCGGTTCGACATGGCTCTCGCCAACCCAGTGGCCACTCCCCTTCCATTCGGCCATGGGCTTGCTCCACCCACCTCCCCCTCCGCCTCCACTCAGCCCTATGCGGAACTGGTTGGCTCCATCATGTATGCCATGATGGGGACCCGTCCCGACCTCGCCTACCCCATCAGCGTCCTGGCGCGTTTCGTCGGTACCGGTCGTCACACCTCCGTGCATTGGAGAGCCGCCAAACGAGTCCTACGCTACCTCCATGGCACTCAGGACCATGTTCTCACCCTTGGTGGTGCCTCTCCCCCGCTCCTCACCGGCTTCAGTGACTCGTCTTGGGCAGACTCTCAGCCGGATCGCCGCTCTTCCCAAGGATATGGCTTCACGCTCGGTAGCGGCTTGGTCAGCTGGCGCTCCACCCGCTCCTCCGCCATCGCCCTCTCATCTTGTGAAGCCGAACTCTATGCTGGTACCATGGCTGCGCAGGAAGGACGCTGGCTTTCCTTCTTGCTAGCCGAGCTTGGGGCCCCCCAGCCATGCCCCACGCTCTGGTGCGACAACGCCAGCACGATCCACCTCACCAAGAATCCGGTCTTCCACGGGCGCTCCAAACACATCGAACTACGCTACTTCTACGTTCGCGATCTTGTCCAGCAAGGCCATCTTGCCGTCCGAAAAATTGCCGCCGAAGCCAACCTCGCTGACATCTTCACCAAAGCTCTTCCGAAGCTAGCCCACCGGGCCTTCCTTCGCCTTCTTGGCCTCTCCCCGGCTTCATGATTCCGGGGTTGTGCACACTTATAAACCTCTTATGCTACGGGGTTGTGTTAGAATATAGCATAATGTATGTTTATATTTGTGCATGTGTTACACCCTAAAGTGGGTGTACACTTTGGGTCAAGGCGACCCAACCAATTTTGGTTGGGCGCCCTCAAACCCAACTCGACCGCAATTGACGGGGGGGGGGCAATAATGGTCCCCTCCAACGATTGTTGGTTACCCCAGCAATTGTTGGTCGACCCAATCTGATTGGTCCACCAATAAATGCTGAGGGTACCCCACTTCGTTCCCAAAACTTCTCATCTCCTATATGTACCGACACTCTTTCTAATCAAGACAACACTTGAGATTCTTTCACAAGGTGCGACACTGACCTCACCTCACCAAGGTGCGACACTTGTACTGCTCCTGTCCTCTTAGCATGCCAAGGCTCACCCATACTTCACTCCGCGAGCCTTTCTTCCTCTGCTCTTGGGCTGGGCGTGCCATTGTTCAGGCGTTGACGATCATTCCATCGAACCTGCCCATCCACCAGCACCTGCTGCAGCACCGCGCCGTCTCGCACCTCAAGCTGTTTTTAAGCCGTTCCTTTGCTCTGCTGCCTGCCCTTGGGTTGAGTGTGCGTGTGTGTCACTGTCAGGCCCTCCGAATCATTCCATCGGATCTACCCATTCACCAGAGCCTGCTGCAGCACCGAGCCGTCTCGCACCTCAAGCTGCAGCGATTCTCAGAGGTCAGGCTGGGTGGGGCTCTGATGTGCATTCAAGGGAGTAGAGTGGTTGTGAGGGCAGTGAGTACCATTGTGTCCGATGCGCACTGCTGAGTGTATTGTTTGTGTGCGACCATGCCATGGTGCTGTGTGCAATGCGTGTGTGCGACCCATGCCATGCCATGCCATGCCATGCCATGCCATGGTGCTGTTATGGCAGGCCATAGCGGACTGGACTACCATGATTGATGCCGACCCCAGCAATGTTGCTGCCATTCGTGAGAGAGGTGAGACACAGAGCTGAATCATATGCCATCCACCAACCATTTCAGAAATCCAGACAGTATTTGGTGAAGTGCCATGTTCCAATAGTGCCGTGTTTTATGCATCGCATATCCCATCCACCAACCATTTCATGCCCTCCCATCCCCAACTCATGCTATCCCATGCACCATCCACCCATCCCATGCACCTCCCATCCCATGCCCATGCACCTCCCATCCCATCCCCATGCACCGCCCATGCCATCCCATGCACCGCCCATGCCATCCCATGCACCTCCCATCCCATGCCCATGCACCTCCCATCCCATGCCCATGCACCTCCCATCCCATCCCCATGCACCGCCCATGCCATCCCATGCACCGCCCATGCCATCCCATGCACCGCCCATGCCATCCCATGCACCTCCCATCCCATGCCCATGCACCTCCCATCCCATGCCCATGCACCTCCCATCCCATCCCCATGCACCGCCCATGCCATCCCATGCACCGCCCATGCCATCCCATGCGCCACCCATGCCATCCCATGCGCCACCCATGCCATCCCATGCGCCACCCATGCCATCCCATGCACCACCCACCCATCCCTCCCCCGTGTGGCAGGCATGGCTCGTGTGAACCGCAGGGCTTTCAAGGACGCCATTCCGGACCTGACCACCGCACTGCACCACTCTCCACACGAGCACACCCTCCGCCTCTTCCTGGTAGAGTACATTTCCATGGCATGGCAAGGCATGGCAAGGCATGGCAAGGCATGGCATGGCAAGGCATGGCAAGGCATGGCATGGCAAGGCATGGCATGGCATGGCATGGCATGGCATGGCATGGCATGGCATGGCATGGCATGGCATGGAGCAGTGTATTCAGCTGCTGTGTGCGGAGTGCTGCTCAGCGGGCATGTTATCCCATTCCCGTTGCCCAGGTCAATGCACTAGTACCCACGTGGGACGGCGGTCAGAGGTAGCATTTGAGGCATGGTGTGTGCTCGCCTCTCTCCCTGCTGCTACAATCCCCCTCCCTCCCATCCCCTCTCCCCCACACCCTACCTCAGGGCAACGCCTTGTACCACATGGGGCGGTGATCAGAGGCAGCAGCAACGCTGCAGGAGGTGGTGCAAGTGGAGCCACAACAGGGGGAGGTGTGGTGCAAGCTCACTTCTCTCCCTACTGCTATCATTCCCTTCCCCTTCCCCTCCCCCGCTGCCTCAGGGCAACGCGTTGTACCACATGGGGCGACGGTGAGAGTCAGCGGCAGCGCTGCAAGTGGTGGTGCGTGCGGATCCGCAGTAGGTGTAGGGGATGGTGACCCGTTTACTTAAACTTCTCTCCCTCCTTGCACCCTCCCACCAAACCCTCTCCCCCCTCCCGCCAAATCCTCAAGGCAACGCCTTATACCACATGGGGCGATGGTCCGAAGCAGCAGCAGCGCTGCAGGTGGTGGTGCGTGCAGAGCCACTGCGGGGGGAGGCGTGGCGCGTGCTCACTTCTCTCTACTGTTATCACCCCCCTCCCGCCTAATCCTCAAGGCAACGCCTTATACTACATGGGCCGCCGGTCAGAGGCAGCAGCAGCGCTGCAGGCGGTGGTGCAAGCAGAGCCGCAGCGGGGGGAGGCGTGGCGCGTGCTGGGGGACGTGCGGAGGGACATGGGGGAGGTGGGGGAGGCGGAGAGGTGCTATGGGCATGCGCTGAAGGCGTTTCCCAGGTGAGATGGATGGAGGCATGTAGGCGTGTGATGGGGAACAGGCGGAAGGGCGTGGTCGAGAGGGGGGGAGAGGAGAGGTGCTATGAGAATGCGAGAAGCTCAGGTTCTATGGGTGCAGCCTTGGAGGCATGGCGTGTGCTGCAGACGTACGGAGGGATATGGGAGGAGGGCAAGGCAGAGAGGTGTTATATGAGAATGTGCTCAATGAATGGCAGGCAGAAGCACAAATGAGGGGATTCTATATGCTGCATACCTGTTTGCTCCACCCATTAACTTCCCTCGTAGCAGCCACTTCTTCTCCACCCGCCCTCTCATGAATGATCACCTTGTGTGCACCCATCCGCCTTCCCTCCCTCCCCCCCGACGACGCACGGTGCGGCAGTGATATGCCCACGCTGCACTCGTGGGTGAAGCTGCTGCAATCCACCGGCAGAAACAGGTGGGTGCAGAGCGGTTCAGATAGGTAGCTGTAGAGGAGGCATGTGCTTGTGAGCCGTCGAGGTGTCATGCGGTTATTTCTATCATGTTGCTGGTTGTGCTACCCATGCCGCTTTCGCACTGCTGGTTGCGTTGCTGATTGTGCCGCGGATTGTGTCAATCATTTCTTGTATCGCTCTTTGTGTCTCAAACGGTCCATTGATATAGGCGGCAGTATACAGGGTTCTCTCTTTGCGTCTCTCTCTCGGTGTCTCTCCTTGTCTGCTGCAAGCCAGGGAGGTAATCAACCTACTCTCAAAGTACATCCCCTACCACCCCACTAACGTGGAGCTGCGCTATTGGTTGGCATCATCGCACCACTCCTTGGCTGACTTTCCCAAAGCTGTGAGTCGAGCGGTTGATCGGATCAGCACGTTGAATGCAAGTCAACCGCACCCGCTCTGGCTGATGCCTTTGAGACTCTTTCAGGCTAGCCTTGACTCTGGCGTGTGACACAGCATTACTTAGTTGCAGGGCTGCCATGCCTCCTTTCAGACGCCTCAAGGCTTGGTCATGGTTTAGCAGTATTACTCAGCTCATCTTCCCTCTAGGCTTTAGTCACAGTTTACAAAGGTAACCTAGTGTATCCCCTCAGCAAGTTTGACAAACGCACCTGCCTGGTTGTGGTGGTGGTGGCAGGTTGACGAGTACAATCACGTGCTTAAGATGCAGCCACGTGACTACAGCGAGCGCCAGAGCCATGACATGGCATTCTACCAGGTGTGACTGTATGAGGAGGAGCCAGCAAATGAGATAGGGTTTTTGTTCTGTGAGATTGCTGCAGCAAGGGAGAGCATGGTCGCTGACTCATGCCATGCTGCATGTGTTTGTACATGTCTAACTGCCTGCACCCCATACGCCATGTCTAACTGCCTGCACCCCATACGCCATGCCCAACTGCCTGCACCCCATACGCCATGCCTCCCTGCGTGCACTTGCGTGCATCACACGGCACCATATCCCATCACATCACAGAGGGAGGTGGCAGTGTACATGGCAGCGTGCATGGAGCAGCCTGTGGACCGATTCAGCTTGCCCCCTGCCCCCCTGCATGCCCCCCTGCATGCCTCCCTGCATGCCTCCCTGCATGCCTCCCTGCATGCCTCCCTGCGTGCACCTCATGTTGCATGCGTGCATCACATGAATCACAGAGGGAGGTGGCAGTGTACATGGCAGCATGCATGGAGCAGCCTGTGGACCAATTCAGCATCGACGACCACTTCCTTCCTCTCTTCAAGGTGACTCTAACAGGAATAGCTTCAGTCTTGACTCTCTTTTATTCAACTCACTCCCCTCCTTTAGCCACCACTGTCTCCCCTCGATTTCTTCAAAGCCTCTCCAGCCTAAACCTAAAGGCGACAAACTCACGGCCTCTCCCCACACCCCTCCCCACTCCTCTCCCCACACCCCTCCCCACTCCTCTCCCCACACCCCTCCCCACTCCTCTCCCCACACCCCTCCCCACTCCTCTCCCCACACCCCTCCCCACTCCTCTCTCCACTCCCCTCCCCACTCCTCCCCATTCCCCCCCCACCCCTCTCCTTTTTCCTCTCTCCTCTACCACCCCCCCATCACCAGGAGAGTTGTTCGTACCGCTATCCACCCCCCCATTCCTCGCACCACTTCTCTCCCTGTTCCCCTCACCACCCCTCTCCCCTTTCCCCTCTCCTCTCTCGTCCACCACCTCCCCCACCAGGAGAGCTGGACATACCGCTATCCACCACATGCCCTGCTGCAGGCAGGCTACAAGCCCAAAGCCCTGCCGCCTCTAGATGCTCGGGGCAACGGCAGCACCTGCAGTGGGGAGGGCGAGGGGGCAAGGCTGGGTGCTGCCCACGTGGAGGCTGTTGATTGGGCGGACAGGCTGGGCAGTCTGATTCAGTACCACTGCGCTGGCTTCCTCAATAACAGACGCCAGGTGAGGGGTGGGGGGCTTTAGGCTGGCTGCCTAGCAGACGGCAGGTGAGGGGTGGGGGGCTTTAGGCTGGCTGCCTAGCAGACGGCAGGTGAGGGGTGGGGGGCTTTAGGCTGGCTGCCTAGCAGACGGCAGGTGAGGGGTGGGGGGCTTTAGGCTGGCTGCCTAGCAGACGGCAGGTGAGGGGTGGGGGGCTTTAGGCTGGCTGCCTAGCAGACGGCAGGTGAGGGGTGGGGGGCTTTAGGCTGGCTGCCTAGCAGACAGCAGGTGAGGGGTGGGGGGCTTTAGGCTGGCTGCCTAGCAGACGGCAGGTGAGGGGTGGGGGGCTTTAGGCTGGCTGCCTAGCAGACGGCAGGTGAGGGGTGGGGGGCTTTAGGCTGGCTGCCTAGCAGACGGCAGGTGAGGGGTGGGGGGCTTTAGGCTGGCTGCCTAGCAGACGGCAGGTGAGGGGTGGGGGGCTTTTGGCTGGCTGCCTAGCAGACGGCAGGTGAGGGGTGGGGGGCTTTAGGCTGGCTGCCTAGCAGACGGCAGGTGAGGGGTGGGGGGCTTTAGGCTGGCTGCCTAGCAGACGGCAGGTGAGGGGTGGGGGGCTTTAGGCTGGCTGCCTAGCAGACGGCAGGTGAGGGGTGGGGGGCTTTAGGCTGGCTGCCTAGCAGACGGCAGGTGAGGGGTGGGGGGCTTTAGGCTGGCTGCCTAGCAGACGGCAGGTGAGGGGTGGGGGGCTTTAGGCTGGCTGCCTAGCAGACGGCAGGTGAGGGGTGGGGGGCTTTAGGCTGGCTGCCTAGCAGACGGCAGGTGAGGGGTGGGGGGCTTTAGGCTGGCTGCCTAGCAGACGGCAGGTGAGGGGTGGGGGCTTTAGGCTGGCTGCCTAGCAGACGGCAGGTGAGGGGTGGGGGGCTTTAGGCTGGCTGCCTAGCAGACGGCAGGTGAGGGGTGGGGGCTTTAGGCTGGCTGCCTAGCAGACGGCAGGTGAGGGGTGGGGGGCTTTAGGCTGGCTGCCTAGCAGACGGTAGGTGAGGGGTGGGGGGCTTTAGGCTGGCTGCCTAGCAGACGGCAGGTGAGGGTTGGGGGGCTTTAGGCTGGCTGCCTAGCAGACGGCAGGTGAGGGGTGGGGGCTTTAGGCTGGCTGCCTAGCAGACGGCAGGTGAGGGGTGGGGGGCTTTAGGCTGGCTGCCTAGCAGACGGCAGGTGAGGGGTGGGGGCTTTAGGCTGGCTGCCTAGCAGACGGCAGGTGAGGGGTGGGGGGCTTTAGGCTGGCTGCCTAGCAGACGGTAGGTGAGGGGTGGGGGGCTTTAGGCTGGCTGCCTAGCAGACGGCAGGTGAGGGTTGGGGGGCTTTAGGCTGGCTGCCTAGCAGACGGCAGGTGAGGGGTGGGGGGCTTTAGGCTGGCTGCCTAGCAGACGGTAGGTGAGGGGTGGGGGGCTTTAGGCTGGCTGCCTAGCAGACGGCAGGTGAGGGGTGGGGGGCTTTAGGCTGGCTGCCTAGCAGACGGCAGGTGAGGGGTGGGGGGCTTTAGGCTGGCTGCCTAGCAGACGGCAGGTGAGGGGTGGGGGGCTTTAGGCTGGCTGCCTAGCAGACGGCAGGTGAGGGGTGGGGGGCTTTAGGCTGGCTGCCTATCAGACGGCAGGTGAGGGGTGGGGGGCTTTAGGCTGGCTGCCTAGCAGACGGCAGGTGAGGGGTGGGGGGCTTTAGGCTGGCTGCCTAGCAGACGGCAGGTGAGGGGTGGGGGGCTTTAGGCTGGCTGCCTAGCAGACGGCAGGTGAGGGGTGGGGGCTTTAGGCTGGCTGCCTAGCAGACGGCAGGTGAGGGGTGGGGGGCTTTAGGCTGGATGCCTAGCAGACGGCAGGTGAGGGGTGGTGGGCTTTAGGCTGGCTGCCTAGCAGACGGCAGGTGAGGGGTGGGGGGCTTTAGGCTGGCTGCCTAGCAGACGGAAGGTGAGGGGTGGGGGGCTTTAGGCTGGCTGCCTAGCAGACGGCAGGTGAGGGGTGGGGGGCTTTAGGCTGGCTGCCTAGCAGACGCCAGGTGAGGGGTGGGGGCTTTAGGCTGGCTGCCTAGCAGACGGCAGGTGAGGGGTGGGGGGCTTTTGGCTGGCTGCCTAGCAGACGGCAGGTGAGGGGTGGGGGGCTTTAGGCTGGCTGCCTAGCAGACGGCAGGTGAGGGGTGGGGGGCTTTAGGCTGGCTGCCTAGCAGACGGCAGGTGAGGGGTGGGGGGCTTTAGGCTAGCTGCCTAGCAGACGGCAGGTGAGGGGTGGGGGCTTTAGGCTGGCTGCCTAGCAGACGGCAGGTGAGGGGTGGGGGGCTTTAGGCTGGCTGCCTAGCAGACGGCAGGTGAGGGGTGGGGGGCTTTAGGCTGGCTGCTTAGCAGACGGCAGGTGAGGGGTGGGGGGCTTTAGGCTGGCTGCCTAGCAGACGGCAGGTGAGGGGTGGGGGGCTTTAGGCTGGCTGCCTAGCAGACGGCAGGTGAGGGGTGGGGGGCTTTAGGCTGGCTGCCTAGCAGACGGCAGGTGAGGGGTGGGGGGCTTTAGGCTGGCTGCCTAGCAGACGGCAGGTGAGGGTTGGGGGGCTTTAGGCTGGCTGCCTAGCAGACGGCAGGTGAGGGGTGGGGGCTTTAGGCTGGCTGCCTAGCAGACGGCAGGTGAGGGGTGGGGGGCTTTAGGCTGGCTGCCTAGCAGACGGCAGGTGAGGGGTGGGGGCTTTAGGCTGGCTGCCTAGCAGACGGCAGGTGAGGGGTGGGGGGCTTTAGGCTGGCTGCCTAGCAGACGGTAGGTGAGGGGTGGGGGGCTTTAGGCTGGCTGCCTAGCAGACGGCAGGTGAGGGTTGGGGGGCTTTAGGCTGGCTGCCTAGCAGACGGCAGGTGAGGGGTGGGGGGCTTTAGGCTGGCTGCCTAGCAGACGGTAGGTGAGGGGTGGGGGGCTTTAGGCTGGCTGCCTAGCAGACGGCAGGTGAGGGGTGGGGGGCTTTAGGCTGGCTGCCTAGCAGACGGCAGGTGAGGGGTGGGGGGCTTTAGGCTGGCTGCCTAGCAGACGGCAGGTGAGGGGTGGGGGGCTTTAGGCTGGCTGCCTAGCAGACGGCAGGTGAGGGGTGGGGGGCTTTAGGCTGGCTGCCTATCAGACGGCAGGTGAGGGGTGGGGGGCTTTAGGCTGGCTGCCTAGCAGACGGCAGGTGAGGGGTGGGGGGCTTTAGGCTGGCTGCCTAGCAGACGGCAGGTGAGGGGTGGGGGGCTTTAGGCTGGCTGCCTAGCAGACGGCAGGTGAGGGGTGGGGGCTTTAGGCTGGCTGCCTAGCAGACGGCAGGTGAGGGGTGGGGGGCTTTAGGCTGGATGCCTAGCAGACGGCAGGTGAGGGGTGGTGGGCTTTAGGCTGGCTGCCTAGCAGACGGCAGGTGAGGGGTGGGGGGCTTTAGGCTGGCTGCCTAGCAGACGGAAGGTGAGGGGTGGGGGGCTTTAGGCTGGCTGCCTAGCAGACGGCAGGTGAGGGGTGGGGGGCTTTAGGCTGGCTGCCTAGCAGACGCCAGGTGAGGGGTGGGGGCTTTAGGCTGGCTGCCTAGCAGACGGCAGGTGAGGGGTGGGGGGCTTTTGGCTGGCTGCCTAGCAGACGGCAGGTGAGGGGTGGGGGGCTTTAGGCTGGCTGCCTAGCAGACGGCAGGTGAGGGGTGGGGGGCTTTAGGCTGGCTGCCTAGCAGACGGCAGGTGAGGGGTGGGGGGCTTTAGGCTAGCTGCCTAGCAGACGGCAGGTGAGGGGTGGGGGCTTTAGGCTGGCTGCCTAGCAGACGGCAGGTGAGGGGTGGGGGGCTTTAGGCTGGCTGCCTAGCAGACGGCAGGTGAGGGGTGGGGGGCTTTAGGCTGGCTGCTTAGCAGACGGCAGGTGAGGGGTGGGGGGCTTTAGGCTGGCTGCCTAGCAGACGGCAGGTGAGGGGTGGGGGGCTTTAGGCTGGCTGCCTAGCAGACGGCAGGTGAGGGGTGGGGGGCTTTAGGCTGGCTGCCTAGCAGACGGCAGGTGAGGGGTGGGGGCTTTAGGCTGGCTACCTAGCAGACGGCAGGTGAGGGGTGGGGGGCTTTAGGCTGGCTGCCTAGCAGACGGCAGGTGAGGAGTGGGGGGCTTTAGGCTGGCTGCCTAGCAGACGGCAGGTGAGGGGTGGGGGGCTTTAGGCTGGCTGCCTAGCAGACGGCAGGTGAGGGGTGGGGGGCTTTTGGCTGGCTGCCTAGCAGACGGCAGGTGAGGGGTGGGGGGCTTTAGGCTGGCTGCCTAGCAGACGGCAGGTGAGGGGTGGGGGGCTTTAGGCTGGCTGCCTAGCAGACGGCAGGTGAGGTGTGGGGGGCTTTAGGCTGGCCGCCTAGCAGACGGCAGGTGACGGGTGGGGGGCTTTTGGCTGGCTGCCTAGCAGACGGCAGGTGAGGGGTGGGGGGCTGTAGGCTGGCTGCCTAGCAGACGGCAGTGTTGTAATTTCATATTTTATACAACATACATAGGCTAGAATTAGATGTGTAGAACATTTATAAATTGGGGGGTTGTTTAGTGTACCCTCCAACCACATTTTGTGGTTGCTTGGGATTGGTCCTTAGCTCAACCAATCCCAACCAACACACATTTGTGGTTGCTTGGGCCACAAGCAAGCTCACCCATTGGCCAACATTTTGGCCAATAGGGTAAGCTTCCCTCTCACCTCTCTCTTGCTCAATTGTGTGTACTGAAGGGCCTCTTGGCTCATTATTCAATGTATCAATTATCTCTTTCAACAGGCAGGTGAGGGGTGGGGGGCTTTTGGCTGGCTGCCTAGCAGACGGCAGGTGAGGGGTGGGGGGCTGTAGGCTGGCTGCCTAGCAGACGGCAGGTGAGGGGTGGGGGGCTTTTGGCTGGCTGCCTAGCAGACGGCAGGTGAGGGGTGGGGGGCTGTAGGCTGGCTGCCTAGCAGACGGCAGGTGAGGGGTGGGGGGCTTTAGGCTGGCTGCCTAGCAGACGGCAGGTGAGGGGTGGGGGGCTTTAGGCTGGCTGCCTAGCAGACGGCAGGTGAGGGGTGGGGGGCTTTAGGCTGGCTGCCTAGCAGACGGCAGGTGAGGGATGAGAGGGAGTGAGGTCCAGGAGGACCAGGTCTCTTCTTGGTGGGCTTTTGCACCCACTCAGCAGTCCTTATGGCATGTACATGTCCATGTGCATGTGCATGTGCATGTGCATGTGCATGTGCATGTCCATGTGCATGTGCATGTGCATGTGCATGTGCATGTCCATGTCCATGTGCATGTGCATGTGCATGTGCATGTGCATGTGCATGTGCATGTCCATGTCCATGTGCATGTGCATGTGCATGTGCATGTGCATGTGCATGTGCATGTGCATGTGCATGTCCATGTCCATGTGCATGTGCATGTGCATGTGCATGTGCATGTGCATGTGCATGTCCATGTGCATGTGCATGTGCATGTGCATGTGCATGTGCATGTCCATATCCATGTGCATGTGCATGTGCATGTGCATGTGCATGTCCATGTCCATGTCCATGTGCATGTGCATGTGCATGTGCATGTGCATGTCCATGTCCATGTGCATGTGCATGTGCATGTGCATGTGCATGTGCATGTCCATGTGCATGTGCATGTGCATGTGCATGTGCATGTGCATGTGCATGTGCATGTGCATGTGCATGTCCATGTCCATGTGCATGTGCATGTGCATGTGCATGTGCATGTCCATGTCCATGTGCATGTGCATGTGCATGTGCATGTGCATGTACATGTGCATGTGCATGTGCATGTCCATGTCCATGTCCATGTGCATGTGCATGTGCATGTGCATGTGCATGTGCATGTGCATGTCCATGTCCATGTGCATGTGCATGTGCATGTGCATGTGCATGTGCATGTGCATGTCCATGTCCATGTGCATGTGCATGTGCATGTGCATGTGCATGTGCATGTCCATGTCCATGTGCATGTGCATGTGCATGTGGATTGGCCGCATGTCCATGTGCATGTGCATGTGCATGTGCATGTGCATGTGCATGTCCATGTCCATGTGCATGTGCATGTGCATGTGCATGTGCATGTGCATGTCCATGTGCATGTGCATGTGCATGTGCATGTGCATGTCCATGTCCATGTCCATGTGCATGTGCATGTGCATGTGCATGTGCATGTGCATGTGCATGTCCATGTCCATGTGCATGTGCATGTGCATGTGCATGTACATGTGCATGTGCATGTGCATGTCCATGTCCATGTCCATGTGCATGTGCATGTGCATGTGCATGTGCATGTGCATGTCCATGTCCATGTGCATGTGCATGTGCATGTGCATGTGCATGTGCATGTCCATGTCCATGTGCATGTGCATGTGCATGTGCATGTGCATGTCCATGTCCATGTGCATGTGCATGTGCATGTGCATGTGGATTGGCCGCATGTCCATGTCCATGTGCATGTGCATGTGCATGTGCATGTCCATGTCCATGTGCATGTGCATGTGCATGTGCATGTGCATGTCCATGTCCATGTGCATGTGCATGTGCATGTGCATGTGCATGTGCATGTGCATGTCCATGTCCATGTGCATGTGCATGTGCATGTGCATGTGCATGTCCATGTCCATGTCCATGTGCATGTGCATGTGCATGTGCATGTGCATGTCCATGTCCATGTGCATGTGCATGTGCATGTGCATGTGCATGTGCATGTCCATGTGCATGTGCATGTGCATGTGCATGTGCATGTGCATGTGCATGTCCATGTCCATGTGCATGTGCATGTGCATGTGCATGTGCATGTGCATGTCCATGTCCATGTCCATGTGCATGTGCATGTGCATGTGCATGTGCATGTGCATGTCCATGTCCATGTGCATGTGCATGTGCATGTGCATGTACATGTGCATGTGCATGTGCATGTCCATGTCCATGTGCATGTGCATGTGCATGTGCATGTGCATGTGCATGTGCATGTGCATGTGCATGTCCATGTCCATGTGCATGTGCATGTGCATGTGCATGTGCATGTGCATGTGCATGTGCATGTCTATGTCCATGTGCATGTGCATGTGCATGTGCATGTGCATGTCCATGTCCATGTGCATGTGCATGTGCATGTGCATGTGGATTGGCCGCATGTCCATGTCCATGTGCATGTGCATGTGCATGTGCATGTGCATGTGCATGTCCATGTCCATGTGCATGTGCATGTGCATGTGCATGTGCATGTGCATGTCCATGTCCATGTGCATGTGCATGTGCATGTGCATGTGCATGTGCATGTGCATGTCCATGTCCATGTGCATGTGCATGTGCATGTGCATGTCCATGTCCATGTCCATGTGCATGTGCATGTGCATGTGCATGTGCATGTGCATGTGCATGTGCATGTCCATGTCCATGTGCATGTGCATGTGCATGTGCATGTGCATGTGCATGTGCATGTCCATGTGCATGTGCATGTGCATGTGCATGTGCATGTGCATGTGCATGTCCATGTCCATGTGCATGTGCATGTGCATGTGCATGTGCATGTGCATGTCCATGTCCATGTGCATGTGCATGTGCATGTGCATGTGCATGTCCATGTCCATGTGCATGTGCATGTGCATGTGCATGTGCATGTGCATGTGCATGTCCATGTGCATGTGCATGTGCATGTGCATGTGCATGTGCATGTGCATGTCCATGTCCATGTGCATGTGCATGTGCATGTGCATGTGGATTGGCCGCATGTCCATGCCCATGTGCACTCGCTTGAACAATTCAACGCAGCCTCACCTAATCCCCATGTCCTGTGGCTTGGGTCCCATTCAGACCCTCTCCCACTCCGCTCTTCATTCATACCAATCATCTCATTGTATCGAATGCTCACAGCAAAGGGCAGCGGGGCTAGCCATGCTGGGGATCATGCACGCACTTAGGCATGTGCACTCGTTTGAACGGTTCAAAGCGCCCTTAGCTGATCCCCATGTCCCGTGGCTTGGGTCCCATTCAGACACTCTCTCCTCCCCTCGCCAATCATACCAATCATCCCAAGCATCTTATTCTTTGTGTTGCACACAGCAAAGGGCAGCAGGGCTAGCCATACTGGCGATCATGCAGGCACTCAGGCACGAGTGGGTCCCATTCAGACACTCACCCACTCCCCTCTACAATCATGCCAATTACCTCATTGTATCCCCATTGCATCAAATGCAATGCACACAGCAAAGGGCGGCGGGGCTAGCCATGCTGGCGGTCATGCAGGCACTCAGGCACGAGTGGGCCCGCCTTCTCGCCTCCTCATCTCGCCCAGCCAATCATACCAATCATCTTCTCAACCATCTTATTCTTTGTGTTGCACACAGCAAAGGGCGGCGGGGCTAGCCATGCTGGCCATCATGCAGGCACTCAGGCACGAGTGGGCCCGCCTCCTCGCCTCCTCGTCTCGCCCAGCCAGTGCCGGCAGCGGTGCTGATGTGGCGCTGACGTGGCGTGACGTGTACTCCATGGCTGCCACGTGGCGGCAGATAGCGGAACCAACGGATAAAGTGATGTGGTCGGATCGATACACGTGAGTGATTTGCTGACTTATGCGCTGCTGACTTAATACAGGGAGTAAGAACCTTACATTGAAAACATTACCTCTTATTGTGCGCTAACAGATTGCTTCGGCTTCAGCCAGTGCTTTTTCCCAATGTGCAATCCTCTTGGACTGTGACATCCTCCGTGGGTGTGCTGTGGTGCTGTGGGTGCTGGGGTGAGTGGCAGGGAGAGTGGGTTCAACAAGGGGGTCATCTCCAGCACCCCCATCTCATAGATGGGGTGCTGTGACCAGTGCTTTTCGCAATGTGCAATCCTCCTTCACTGTGACGTCCTCCGTGGGTGTGCTGTGGGTGCTGTGGGTGAGTGGCAGGGAGAGTGGGTTCAACAAGGGGGTCATCTCCAGCACCCCCATCTCATAGATGGGGTGCTGTGACCAGTGCTTTTCGCAATGTGCAATCCTCCTTCACTGTGACGTCCTCCGTGGGTGTGCTGTGGGTGCTGTGGGTGAGTGGCAGGGAGAGTGGGTTCAACAAGGGCGTCATCTCCAGCACCCCCATCTCATACGGCCAGTCACTCAACTTCAAATATGGCGCATACGCGGACAGGTACAGTGGGCTAACGTCTCTTGAGGCGCCTCAAAAGTATGGCGCATACGCGGACAGGTACAGTGGGCTAACGTCTCTTGAGGCGCCTCAAAAGTATGGCGCATACGCGGACAGGTACAGTGGGCTAACGTCTCTTGAGGCGCCTCAGAAGTATGGCGCATACGCGGACAGGTACAGTGGGCTAACGTCTCTTGAGGCGCCTCAAAAGTATGGCGCATACGCGGACAGGTACAGTGGGCTAACGTCTCTTGAGGCGCCTCAAAAGTATGGCGCATACGCGGACAGGTACAGTGGGCTAACGTCTCTTGAGGCGCCTCAAAAGTATGGCGCATACGCGGACAGGTACAGTGGGCTAACGTCTCTTGAGGCGCCTCAAAAGTATGGCGCATACGCGGACAGGTACAGTGGGCTAACGTCTCTTGAGGCGCCTCAAAAGTATGGCGCATACGCGGACAGGTACAGTGGGCTAACGTCTCTTGAGGCGCCTCAAAAGTATGGCGCATACGCGGACAGGTACAGTGGGCTAACGTCTCTTGAGGCGCCTCAAAAGTATGGCGCATACGCCGACAGGTACAGTGGGCTAACGTCTCTTGAGGCGCCTCAAAAGTATGGCGCATACGCCGACAGGTACAGTGGGCTAACGTCACTTGAGGCGCCTCAAAAGTATGGCGCATACGCCGACAGGTACAGTGGGCTAACATCTAAGAAATCAGTGTTTCAAAAGCAGCGTATATGCCTTCGGGTGGCATGCACGCAGGACTGTGTATCGGCCGTGGGTGTTTTTTGAGACATCCAGCATATATGTCTAAGGGATGTAGGTGTGACTATAGAGAGTGACCGGTGGAGTGTGTTAAAAGCATATTTATCATCTGTATTTGCATATGCATGAGTGTCTGTGTGTGCGTGCGTGTGCATCAGAGCGTTTGGGATTCTGAAGCAGCTGGTGCTAGAGCGAGGAGTGGTGAAGGCGCAGGATGGGCTCGTGGAGATTCCTGTCTCCAAGGCCGTGCTCAGAAAGGTACGTCAGCACTGGCAGACTCGCCACTCTTGAAGCTTCAAGTACGCTCATGCCCTCTGTACATCCATCAAGCAATCTATCTCACCCCACCCTTCACGGCATCCCATCCATCCCATCCCACACCACGTGTGATGAGTTGATTTTCGAGTCGACTCAAAAAACGACCCTTCACAGCATGTTATCCATGTCATCCCGCGCCAGGCTCGCAAGGCCAGCACCCACACGCAGCTAGTGGAGGCAGTCGGCCAACCCTCCTTCTACACGCCACTGCTCATCCCCAGCTCCGCACAGCCCGGGTGCGCACTGACCTCCGTGCTTGCACCGCGTCCCATCCATCCCATCCCACACCAGGCGCGCAAGGCCAGCACCCACACGCAGCTAGTCGCAGCAGTCGGCCAACCCTCCTTCTACACGCCACTGCTCATCCCCAGCTCCGCACAGCCCGGGTATGCACTGACCTTCACCTCACCGCGTCCCATCCATCCCATCCCACACCAGGCGCGCAAGGCCAGCACCCACACGCAGCTAGTCGCAGCAGTCGGCCAACCCTCCTTCTACACGCCACTGCTCATCCCCAGCTCCGCACAGCCCGGGTATGCACTGACCTTCACCTCACCGCGTCCCATCCATCCCATCCCACACCAGGCGCGCAAGGCCAGCACCCACACGCAGCTAGTCGCAGCAGTCGGCCAACCCTCCTTCTACACGCCACTGCTCATCCCCAGCTCCGCACAGCCCGGGTATGCACTGACCTTCACCTCACCGCGTCCCATCCATCCCATCCCACACCAGGCGCGCAAGGCCAGCACCCACACGCAGCTAGCCACGGCAGTCGGCCAACCCTCCTTCTACACGCCACTGCTCATCCCCAGCTCCGCACAGCCCGGGTGCGCCCTTACCTCCGTGCTTGCAGCCATGATCCCTGCTGGAGTTTCGTAGTGCCTTGCCTTTAGCACGTGCAGCGTTTGAGTTGCTTTTTTGCCCTCTCCGTTGCACAGGCTTGGGTCTCTGTTCGCCTCTGTGTGTGCATTTCTGTGTGTGGGCCCGTTTAAGCGTGCCCATGTGACAGTTGGTTAACGTTCACTCATGTGTGTATATGCCAATGCTTCTTGTTGACATCTATGATTGTTTGTGGTATGTGTACAGGAAGCTTATTGAAGGCACACGAATATCAGTATTTCCTAATTCCGAGTAAGCTTCACGTGATCCCATTCCATACCCATCAATAACTTCACTCATAAGCCTTATGCTATGATACTAGCCTCTTTCTCGCCACCATCGCATCTCTCACATCCCTCTCACATCACTCACTCCCCTCCCCTACCCAACCATCTCCTCCCCTTTTCTCAACAATCTCTCCCAGGCATACCTCCTCCCTCCTTCCATCCCCACATCTCACTCCACCTCTTGCCTCTTCACACCTTCCCCATCCGCCCCAACCTCATCCCTTTCCGCTTCCCCCACCCCCACCTCGCGCCCAAGCTCATGCTCATTCTCCTTCACCATCTCTCCCCTCCTCCTACCCCTCCCCCTTCTTCCTTTCCTTTCCCTGTCCATGCCTCCTTCCTTCCTCCTTACCAGCTCCCCCGAGCTAGCAATCGAGCTCATGCTCAAGCCCCTTCCTCCAACCTCGTCTCCCCCACTCCCCTCCCACTCCCTCCAACCTCCTTCCTCCTCGCCTGTCCCCTGCAGCTCGCCCGAGCCCGAGCTAGCGATCGAGCTCATGCTCAAGCCGGAGCGGTGGAGGGAGTATGAGAGTGAGATGGACGCCGCATGGCAGGTGAGTGAGGGCAAATGCTCACGCATACTCACCACCGCATGCGCGCTCCCTTCGTGCTTGTATGAATCTCCTTATTCTCCCCGATCCCATCTCCTTCTCCCACCTCACCTCACTTCTCTTGCATCCTTCACGCTGCGCTCCCCTCCCTCTCTACTGCTCTGCTTCGCTTACGCCCCCTCTGACACTCTGCTCCCCCCACGCCCCTTGTCCAACCAACCCGCCCTCGCCCATCAGGCCATCCGCCTGGCAGTGGCAAACACGTCTCTCCGTGACTCTGACCTCCCGGCCTACCGCAAGGCAGTTCAGGACAGCATTCTCAGAATGGCTTACTACTGGTATGTGCTGCTACTGGAGGGTATGGTAGTGGCATGGCCCACTGTTGGTATGCTCATGTGAAGCATGAAGTAACTGTTGTCTATTACTGGTGGGGTGGGGCTGACTACTGGGTCCCTGCTCCTTCTCCCCTGTCCCCGATTCACCAACTTCAAACCACTATATGCACAGGCGCATCTGCACATCACATCACAGTAGCACATACACGGTTTTGTTTGCCTGGCTGTTTACATTACTGTGTGTATGTTCAACCTGTGCTTTTGCACTCACCCAAACCTCCCAAATCTCCATAATCTCCCTAATTTTCACTGAAACCATACCACACCGCACCACACTTCACCACGCCAGGTACAACTTCCAGCCCTTGTCACGGGGCACGTCAGGCACGGGTTACGTGGTAATGCTCGCTCTGCTGCTGTCCATGGACCTGCAAGTCACCACCGCCATCCCTCCGGGCGTGCAGGTGAGCAGAGGGCATCTGGGTTGACAGGGGGCGTGCAGGTGAGCAGAGGGCATGTGGATAGCCAGGGATGCTGGTGGTGGGCGAGTTGATTGTGCTGTTGTGGGGGGGTGATTGACGATAGAAAGAGACACAAGGAAGATGAGAATGGGGGGGGGAGCAGTGTGCAAGTGGGTAAGGGTGGCATAAGGGTTGAGAGACAACACTGGCGTATGTGAAAGCAAGAGAGGCACAAGTGGTGCCAGTCCAGTGCTTGCTAACCTGCTGTCCCTTTATGTGCTTCCCCGCGCTGTGAGCGCAGGTTGACTGGGAGGCACTCCTCTCACCAACTCCTGCAGACTTCACAGCTGCCATCTCAGAGTGGCTGTACCCGTCGCTCGCGTATACTCCAGAGTTGGGCCGGATCCCACAGATCAGTGACATGTTCCCATGCCTTCGTGAGGTTTTCCTTGCTAGGAGTGGCTGAGCTGGGACAAATGCATGCTCTGACGATGGATTGGCACCGGCATGTGCTTGCGGACATGGTTTGTGAATAATGATCTTGTCAAATCCCAATCATTTTCCGAGTTTGATCTTGAGCGTACGCTTGAGCTTGAGTTTGTGCTTGAGCTTGAGCCTCACCTTCAGCTTCAGGGTTTCTCCTTGAACAAGGGAACTCTATGGAGACTGTTGGCCTGCTCTTCTTCTTTCACAATTGATAACCCAGTACCAGGCAGATTTATTGTGCTACAGTGGTGGTAACCTTTTCACAGCACTCATGCACTGTGCTGTGCAAGCAACCCATCCCCTCCTCACCTCATTTGCTCTCTGACAACAATGTGTATTATCAATTGACACCTGCATTGAAGCACCCACCAGCTCTTATAGAACAATATGGCATACCGTGAGACCCTGGATAGAGGTGCATGCGCATGTTTGGCGAAAACGCTTATAGACAGCGCTCTGTGCTTATAACCGCTAAGAATATAAGAGCTTTTCTGTTTTATTTATTATGTATTGTCGAAAATCAATCAGATACCGTAACAAATCTTACTTTAGCAGACAGTCGGCTTCCAATCACGAGCATGGTTCCTCGAACTTGGTCGAAGCTCCTTTGTCTGCCACATCAGCGCTGGTGCGTGCATGTCGGGTGGGGGAGGAATCGAGGCGGCCACTCACATTCATGTGCTTCGCCTGCTCCAGCTCCAGCATTCGCCTCTTCCTGCCTGCTCGTTGTCCTGGCAAAGCGAACAGGCACACACGCATTCATTCACAGAATTTTGTTTCCGAATTTGCTGAGTTAAAATATTCCTTTCTCTTGTGCCGCTCCGCCTTGTTTGCGTCCGACCCACGGCACGTTGCCTTGCAGGCTACAACAATTGTCCTAGTCGGCCTAGAACAAGCGTATCGACTGTCGATTCTCCGTTTTCGTCAATTGCTCCTCATCCGTTCCTGTCTATCGTCTCACGCCCTACGTATCGGTTCCACGAACGCTCGTCTCTCCAGCATGGCCCTAATTGGTTCTCATTCTGCTCGTCTGCCTCTTAAACATGCCACGTCAGCAATGACACCAGCAAGACCAGTAGCCTCAGCAGCTAAGGCATTCCGAACCTCCTTCTCACCCAACCTAATTTCATTCAGTGGCTTGAGGCGCCTCGCCGTTAACGGCGGCAGCGGGTGCAGCCCTAACGGGTTGCAAAGAGCCGTTGAGCGAAGGGCCGTCGAGGCGTCGGTGTCAGCGCGTGAAACAACGGATGCGAGTGCGTCGACGGCCGATGCGACGGGGCTAGGGAAGGCGATTCGCGAAGACTTCCCGATTTTGCATCAGGTAATTTTGAACGTCTAACATCCCGAATTGTGAGACGACTGGACAGCACTTACCCGTGTCGGTTTACAGTCCACGAGAACACATAGTTTTACTTCAGAATCAGTATTCTATGTGAATCAGTGGAGTGCATCCATGCGGTTGATAAGTGGTTGCCGTGGCTTTTATAACTGAATTGTACAATGTCGTCGTTATTCTACTCACTTGTCTTATTTCAATGCATCAGGAGGTGCCAGGCGGCCAGCCATTGGTGTATCTAGACAGCGCAGCAACATCGCAGAAGCCACTGCAAGTGATCAACGCCATGGATGACTACTACCGGCGCTACAATGCCAATGTGCACCGCGGTGTGCACTATCTCAGGTGAGCTTGTAACGCGTATATGCATGCGTGCAATCAACAGCACCATGGTGAATGGAGCAAACGACACAAAGCCGAGGAGCCTTGAAGTGTACACTGTCCCGGGTGAGCGTACATGGTGTATTTGACATTGAGTGCGTGGCCTGTAACCCATGTAAGCATGCAAGCGATTAACGTCACGGATGTGCTGGCTACTACTACCTACCAATGATACGATGATAATGTGTATTGCAACGCGCAGTGCACTACCTGAGGTGAGCCGTGACACCCATGCATCAACGATCAGCACCCTCTTAATGTTTTTGTTCCCCCACTCTCCGTGGGCCGGGGAGACAACGAGCTCTGTTTGTAAAACCAAACATTCTCGTTTTCCCCACTTCACTCACCTTCGTTTCTTACCCCTTCTCCTCCTTCTTCAGCACCTCACGTTCTCGTCTCCTCCCTTCTTCTCCCCCTGTCCGAGCATGCATGCCACAGAGGAGTGTGTGAAGGCGTGGGAGGAAGCAGCTCGCTCGCTTCGTCAACCCTGCCGTCCCAGGGCCCTTTTGCGATCCCCACTCCCCTCGCCCTCCATACCCACCCTTTTCTTTTCACAGCATGTTAGCAAAAGGAGTATGGGAAGCAACGGGAGAAGGTTGGGCCAGGGCCCTTCCAGGATCGCCTCTACTTGTACTTTGCACTCACTTCTCCCCCTCCTCCCACACCCACCCCTCCCCGCAGCATGCTGGCCACAGAGGAGTACGAGAAGGCACGCGAGAAAGTAGCGCGGTTCATCAACACAGCCCAGGGCCCCTCCGAGATCGTGTTCACGCGCAACGCCAGCGAGGCAATCAACCTCGTGGCGTACTCGTGGGGCCTCTCGAACCTCGCCCTGGGTGACGAGGTGCTCCTCACAGTCGCGGAGCACCACAGCAACATCGTCCCCTGGCAGATTGTAGCCCAGAAAACCGGGGCGGTTTTGAAGTTTGCGCCCCTGAAAGTGCCGGAGGAGGCGGAGAGGGAGGGGCATGCGGCGGGCGCGGAGGTGGACTATGAGCGGCTGCTGGAGATGATTGGGGGGCGCACCAAGCTGGTGGCCGTGCACCATGTGTCCAACGTGCTCGGTGAGTCGTGGTTTCAATGGGTGCCAAGCCAAGCGCACCCTGTGTCGCACGATGTGGCATACCATGTGGCATATCATGTGTCATACCAAACATGCTGAGTGAGTCACTCACTGACTTAGCAGTTGGGGGCTCACCTTTCACATTTGGGTGCTGCTAGACGCGTGCCAGTCTGTGCCACACATGCCCGTGGACGTGCAGCAGCTGGAGAGTGTGACTTCTTTGTTGCCCCTTACCCACCGTCCCTTTTCTTACCCCCCTTCTTCAGGCTCCGAGTCCCCAGTGGAGCAGATCAGAGAAAAGGCACACGCAGTGGGCGCCAGGGTGCTTCTAGACGCATGCCAGTCCGTGCCACACATGCCGGTGGACGTGCAGCAGCTGGGGGTGGACTTCGCAGCCGCCTCTTCCCACAAGATGGCTGGGCCCACGGGCATTGGCTTTCTCTACGGCCGCGCCGACGTGCTCGCCTCCATGCCTCCCTTCATGGGTAAGCGTGTGTGGCATGTCCTTACCATGCCTCTTCCCACAAGATGGCTGGGCCCACGGGCATTGGCTTTCTCTATGGCCGATCCGATGTGCTCGCCTCCATGCCTCCCTTCATGGGTAAGCGCGTAGCCTTATTGGTATCTGCGGCCCTTCATGACATGAGCGTTCAGGGGTTAGGGTTCCGCTCAGCTGACCATGTGTTGATTCGTTTTTGGCGTCTCAGAGAATCTATCTCTGTGTGTCTCTTTCCTTGCCATACCTCCCTGTCACACCTTCCTTACATCCCTCACCCCAATGTCTCCATCGTCCCACCTTTCCCCTGTCCTCCCAAACAACCTGACTGGTTCTGATCCTTCAGGCGGAGGCGAGATGATTCAGGACGTGTTCCTCGACCATTCCACCTACTCAGGCCCCCTCGGTGACTCATAAGTCGATCTAAGCCTCAAATTCCCTGCTTGCCCCACCCCCGTGACCTCTCTCGCTTCCATCAGGCGGAGGCGAGATGATTCAGGACGTGTTCCTGGACCATTCCACCTACTCTGATCCTCCCGCACGGTACGCTCTTCCTCTCTCTTCTTGAGGTGCATCAAAAACAGATTCCGCCTACGCTGATCCCCCTGCAAGGCACACCCTTCCCGTCACCACGTTCAAGCTCGCATCAATCCAATTAATTTTGGCATTTGTCTTTCCCTCATGAAGAACACGGCTGATCGTGGTAACATAGCGTTTGTTAAAGTGCTGCCTCGTGTCGTGTGGGCGAAGATGAACCCAGCAGTTTGTTTGTCCTGCTTCTCTCATCCTCTCTGACCGCTCCCCCCCACCCCTGGTCGTTATTTTCCCACTTACTGCCCTCCCCATTGGCCCATTCCCCGTTCTCTCTCTTGCTTTCCTAGCCACAAATTTGGCATTCCAGTCATTTCTGATGCCACAGGGGTGATTGTGGCGAGTTTCACAAGTAACGCATCCCCCCTTCCCCACCTCCCCCCCAGTGCCCTCCCATGTTCGAAGCTGGGAGAGCAGCCATTTCTGATGCCATACAGTTCACGTGTGGCCAGTGTTTCACCTCGCACATCCTCCCTTCCCCTCCCCTCCCTTCTACCAGGTTCGAAGCTGGCACTCCAGCCATTGCGGAGGCTATAGGGTTGGGAGCAGCAGTGGACTATCTGACAGCGAAGGGCATGGATAACGTGCATGCGTATGAGGTATGCTTGGGCCGTTGGTCAGTTAACGTATCTATTGTATGAATGAACATGTATGGCACTGTGTGCACATCTGTGGGGTATTCATGCATGGGTATGAGGGATGGTTGAATGTCCGCAGATATGGTGGTGAAGGAGGTGTATGCAAGGAGGTGTATGCAAGGAGGTGTATGCAAGGAGGTGTTTCCCCATGTTCATGGGTGATTCGTGGATATGGTGAGGGTCTTGATGTCTTGGGTTCATGGGCTTCAGACCATATAGCAGGCACGTGGGCGATGTCGCTTCTGTAACGTTTAGACTTCTGATTGTCACCCGTGATTAGCATGCTGCTGTTGCGTTATTTCTTTACCCCTCTGCTTGTTTACTTTATTCCTGAACCTCTCTACCGCTGCCCCTCCCTCCCGTCCTACCCTTCCTATCGCAGATGCATCTATCAGAGTACCTCTACAAGCAGCTCTCAGCCGTTGATCGAGTACGCATCTACGGCCCTCCTCCGCCGTCTCTGCTCCCAGGAGGCCCGACCGCGCTTCAAAGGGGGCGGGTGGCGGCGCTGTGCACGTTCAGTGTGGATGGCATGCATGCCACCGACGTCTCCACCTTCCTGGACCAACAGGTGTGTGCATGGCATGTCTAGCCCCTCCTCCCCACTGCCCCCCTTCCCCCCCCCCCTCTCCCCCTCTGTCCTCCCCCTTCCTTTCCCCCCTCTCCCCTCTCCCGTGGCCTTCTCTCATTCCCAATTGTTTCCATTTTCAGCATAGAGCAGCTACTTGCAGTGGGCGCCACTATGCGCAGCACATTCATGCCTCCCCCCACCCTCGTCTCCCCTTTCCCCTCTCCCTCTCTGCTCCCCAAACTCCGCCATTCCAGCACGGTGTGGCCATCCGCAGCGGGCACCACTGTGCGCAGCCCATTCACCAGCAGCTGGGCATCAATGCGAGTGCGAGGGCAAGTGCGTATGTGTACAACACAAAGGAGGAGATAGACGCGTTCATTATGGGACTCAAGGACACCATCGACTTCTTTGTTAACTTCTCCTGATCTAATCACCCGAGCATATCTCAAGCCGACCTACAAGAAGCAGCTGAATGCTTTTTGTTATTATAGAATTCTGCATGTTGCAGGCGATGATGTAATTGGATTTCCTATTAGTCTCAAGAACTTCACAATGACAACTCAGAGCACTACAGGACAGACAATGGCTTAGGTAGACCTCTCTCTCGCAGGCAGCTAGGAGGCCGCCAAGGCTGCCGTGAATGCCACCGTAATGGTCACTGTGTCTGCAGCAGCCACTGACGACTCTACTTGATGTTTCCATCACTCCTTCCAGTTGAGTCACTTTCCAAAGCAGAAGAAGGGGACCACGAGGAAAGGGGAAGGAGGGGTGGGTGTGTGACTTTGGAATTGTGCGGTTGTATAGGAGAGAAAGAAGGAAGGGAGAGGAGGTGAGAGGAAGGTGAGAAGTGCCACGCACAACTAGTGCTCCTTGAGCCTAGCGCAACCCTACCTCCTGCATACCCACATTGAGTATTTCATACTGCATTCAAGCACTGTGTGTTGCTAGCAAGGCATGCCCTGCCTTGCATGCATAACAGCGTTGCTCTGTTCTGATGTGCCCGTGCTGAGACATGATAAGGTACGTACGGAGGTATATACAATCATAAAGCAATAACAGACATACTACAAACGCCGCCCAACCCAAGCCAGACACCACAAGATACTAAACCCGAGACCATCACACACACACCCCAAAAGAAGGTACACTATGTGCAAACCCCACAGCACCTTCTCTCACCTAATGCCCAATCCCTTCCCCCCCTGCTTGAGTTCAGTTGCACTTGTCGCGGCACTTCTGATCCTTCCTGTCGCACTTGTGACTGTTGTGATGGTTGTCATCATAGCACTCGTTCAGCTGCTCATCACACTTCTCAACGCACTCCTCCTGGCACTCGTTGAACGCGTCGTTCGCGTCCGTTTTGCACTCGCCACGCTTCTCGTTGCATTTCTGCTCGTGCCGCCAGTCGCGCGCGCGGTCAATGCATTGTGTTTCCTTTTCTTCGCACCGCTGCAGCTTCGACTCGTACTTGTCTGAGCATCTCTTGGAACTGTGCAGCACCCTCCGTGTGACTGTAGCGGGGGATGAGACGCTCGCGAATGGTGCTCGTGCACCTGGAGGGGGGAAGGGGTCAATGCTATTCTTTCATTACGGAGCTATAAAAAGCCATGGCTTCATGATGTGATGCGATCACTGAATTCTTCATGATTTTCCGGTACGTGGACAAGGCAATCATACCGTGAGCAGAAGGGAAGTCAGAGATAGTCAGGAGAACGGCGAGCAGGACGAGAAGGGAAGCGACGATGAACTTCTGGGTTGCCATTTGGTAACGTCAAGATTCCTATCAGTAAAAAATGGACGGTGTGGATGGGAGCTGGAGAACCCTAAAAAACACGCAAATGGTATTTGAATTATGATGTGACTGGACTATTGAATGCGAGCGAATGCGATGGTAACGATCCGAGCGTCCGTCGTTTAAATATTCGGCATCGCGCCTCGAGCCGTCGGGCGAATTCTGTAGCACAGATTGCTGCACGGGTCCGTAACCATCGTCGTGAAACATTCCCCGAGCTCCAACCGCTTGGCGCTTGGCGCTTCGAGGCATGAGGCCAAACCACTCGGCCAAACTCGCTGGGTGTGGCGTCGAGCCAACGTCACGAAACATCCTGGGAGCTCTACTCGCTTCCCCCTCCCGCTGGTTGGCGCTTCGAAGCATGCGGGGCATGTGCCAAGTGGAATTCTCAAGAACTTGCCGGGTGCGGCCGTCGCGGCTTCGACAAAATGCTTCTAGGGCTGGAATAAAGAATTCGACTGTCATCCAATCACCACATGGCGAGTTCTTGGGATTGCTACCTTGCTGACCATCAGAAATTCTGAGAGCATGAGGTTGGGAAGTTGGCTGGGAACCTCAGGGCGCGGTGCATTTGGCGCAAATCCCGAAGTTTGCTTTTTTGATTCGATTTCATCCTTTTTTGAAGCTCGATTGAGTGGTCGAAAAGTTGATTTCACGAGGTTCGAGCCACGGGGCCGATTTCTGGTAGGTGAGAATGTGACCAGCGAGGGTCGAAAAACGAGAATCGACCCTCGCCGAGCCGCGATAATAAATCTAGGTTACCCGAGTAATCTACGTGGCTCTAACTTCTTTGTCGAAGTATCAACTGTAGATGTCGTCAAGTTTCGTCGTCTTCGTGAAGCTGCTAAAATGACCACGTTCTTAAGCACGGCTCGAATGCACGTTCGAACACGCGGTCGACTGACTGTCTGGTTACTTGACTTACGAGTCAGTATTCGAACATTGACCTGGTTGCGTGCGAAGACTATTGCGACATTCACGAACTCAGTAACCATCTCAAGTTCGACCTGTTTTCTGAGCTTCGATCTCAGAGTGATGAAGCGAGCGGGAAGACCATTTGTTCGCCCTGCTGAGCTGGTGAAACTGCTTTGACCGGGGTGGAACTTGTGTACTCTTTGTTGGCTACAGCGATAAAACTGGATGGAAGTATGCCTTGAGAACCTCTATAATTCTTACAAAATCTCCTGAATTTCAAGGAGGAGAAAAGCTTATGCTATACGCATGAAACTTTATGGGGCTTCGTTCTCAATATTCACTTCCAACCTTGTCAGAACACAGCAACGAGTCGCTGCAATTCCCGCGCTGTAAAGAGGTCAGTTCTCTCCCACAACTCAACTCGATCACAAGGACAAGCCTCGTTGCGCACGCATCTGACAAGCAAACCCAGGACAGTAAACCGAATTACGTGCCTCCAATCAATCCTGGAATCAGTCTCGTATGCTGCAAATTGAGTTTCTCTAGCTGCTTTATGCGCGCCAATCAGCGGCTGCCATGTCAGGGAGGGACGAGGGGTAGGTGTTCTACAGCAACCAGGCGTTCCACGAGTCGGAAGGGCCGGCCTATGACGATGCGCTGGGCGACGCGGAAATCACACGATACGCCGCGCAGTAGAATCTCCGCGAGTTCATGCGAAACTTCCACGATCCGCAATACCATAACCGTGTCATCTACAGGTGCACCGCGTGTGCATGCACGTGTTTGTTCTTGTTACGGGGACCGTTCGCTACCAGCACACCAAACAGTCAGCGTTTCCCCATTTTTCACCGCGCGGTCCGTGCCGTTCCGTGCTCAGTGCTTACTCATCCGCTCCCCTCCGTGCGCCCACTGGGCTTTGAGACCTCTCACAAACCAACTGATCCGTGGCCTGGAATCTTCGCTTCTCTGCTCCCACACCAACCACCAACTCCCCTTCTTCTAGGCAGCAGCTACAGGAAGGGCGGGGGCGTGCTTGATGCGGGCGTACATCTTGACAAAAGATGACAAAAGCATGACTCGTAAACCATGCTGGAGGTGTACCCAGAGGACCTGGCCGTTTCAGCACTGCTCGAAATGCAACATCTCTCCCTTACCCAGAAAACGGGAAGCGGATTCAGAGGACTCGATGACGTGGTTCTTTTGGGCTGTTAATATACACCAATTCCCCTCTCCCCCCCACACATCCGCCGCCTCCCCCCATCAGGGAGCGGCTGCAGGAAGGCGGGGCATGGTGCGGGTGGACTTAGAGGAGCTGGCAGTTCTGGGGCGGCTAACAACACCCTGCCCCTCTCTGCGCTCCCCTCATCCCTCCCCCCCCAGGGAGTGGCTGCAGGAGAGGGGGGGGAGGGGGGGGGGGGGGAGGGGAGGGGAGGGGGGGAGGCGTGCTGGAGGTGGACTTTAGAAGACTTGGCGAGCAAGGAGGAGGGGCTGTGCCGCCTCATGCGCACTCCGCCCCGCTGACATGCTGCCGCTGGTAGGATAATATTGAAAAATAAAAGAGTTCATTTTCCCTGCTCGAAACGCCTGTGCGTCTTTCTTACAGAAGATCGCAATTCTCAAGTGCTCCGAGTCCCTCAAATGTGATCAGCAACCGTCTTTTTCTCTGCCTCCTCTCACTCTCCTCGCCTCTCTCTCTTCTGCCCTTTCCTCCCCCACCCCGTGTTGACATGGTAGTTGGAGGTGGCAGCAGCTGAGGTGGTGGCAAGCGTGCGGCAGGAGGTGATGAGGGAGAGTGGTGAGATGGAGGAGGCGAGAGTGACGCCCATGCAGGTGCTGCTGAAGACCTCCAAGGACCCCATGCTCATCCGGGCTGTACCATGTAGGGGGTTCACCCCTTCTTATCCTTGTTTCCTCTTCCCGACATATCCCATCTTCTAGCGTGATAGCCTCCAGAATTATCATTTTCCAGATTAGTTTTGGAACAGCTCTTCCCCTTTTCCAGCTCTTTCCAACCCTTTTCACCCTCCTTTCCCCCTTCCCCATACACCCCCCTCCAGTCGGCACAGATCTCCCATCTTGTCAAAATTTCAAGCATCGTGATCGCATCATCCCGCGCCAAGGCCAAGGTGACGCCAGTGGTGCTCATGTGCTGCTCCTGCAAGAACGTCGAGCCCATCCCCTGCCGCCCTGGCTTTAGCGGCGCTATCATCCCGCGCCAAGGCCAAAGCGACGCCAGTGGTGCTCATGTGCTGCTCCTGCAAGAACGTCAAGCCCATCCCCTGCCGCCCTGGCTGAGGCGGCGCTATCATCCCGTATCAAGGCCAAGGTGGTGCCAGTGGTGCTCATGTGCCACTCCTGCAAGAACGTCAGGTTCACTCATCCCCTGCCGCCCTGGCTGAGGCGGCGCTATGATCCCGTGCACGTGGGATCGCACGGCCCAGGTACCCTCTCTCCTTTACACTATTTCTCCCTCACACTTTCACTCCCTCCTCTCCCTCCTCTCTCTCCTTTCCCTCTTCTCCCCCGTCTCCCCTCCTCTCCATTCTTAATCCTCACCACTGGTGGGTGGTGGTGCAGAATTGAATGGCATGTTCCTTTCCTCCGCCTTCTTCCTCCCCTCTCCTTCATCGGTGCATTAGCAGCCAGAGAAAGAGCCGTGTGTGGTTCTACCCGGAAGAAGCAATTCGTTCTTCCTCCCTTCTTCGTCTCTCACTCGTTTGTGTGCGAGCAGCCAGGGGAGGAGCCATGCAGGGTGGACCATATGTGGTGCTGCTGGAATGAAGTGTAGTTTTAAGGCGCCTCAAAACTAGGAACCATGCAGGGTGGACCCATAGGTGGTGCTGCTGGACAGACGCAAGTACATGGGCCAGCAGGCCATCAAACTACTGGATAATCCCGAGGTAAGGTCAGGGGTCTATGGAGTAATTCCAGGTAAACCTGCCTGTGAATCTTCATGGAAGGTAGCTATGCTTATGTCCTATCCCCCCTTGCCGACGGATGAGATGCGATGCAACGTGGTGCTGGCGGCTGGTTGTTTGCTGGTGCAGCATGATGTGTGCACTGCATCCACACCATGAACCTCGCGCCATGCCCCATGCCCCATGCCCATGGGCCCATCCTCATGAGGCATGGCAGATGCACCATGCCATGCTCCTACCCCATGCACCATGGCATGCTCCTACCCCATGCACCATGTCATGCTCCTACCCCATGCCCCATGCCTCATGCCCGTGCCCCACTGGACGTGCCTACAGGTGAGATGCCGCGCGGTGTGCTGCTCGCGGTGGATCGCTCGCTGGTGCAGCGCAGCATGTGTGCACTGCATGTCAAAATCTAGCAGCAGGAATGAATGAACTATGAAAGAGTTGGGTACAAGTATGAAACCCTAAAAGGGGCTGTACCCCATATTGGCTACCCCACTACAGCCTACACATATGTAACATCCATATACTTTGACACACCCCCATAGGCAAAGTGGGAGAGAACAAGGGGTCACAAGACCAGTCAAGAGAAGCAAAGCAAGCTCAGGGTGGATCACAACGTCACCACACACACTGAGCACAAGCAAAGGGCCACAAGGCCAGTTCACATGCAGAGGTATATATGCAAAAAACAACAGCACAGTGATCTCTACCTAGCAGAGCAAACATGCAGGTATATATATAGATCACAGTACAAGCAAAGTCTACAGCAAGTGAGGAAACGTGGGCACAAGGCCTAACAGAGTGCAGAAACGCTGATGATCACCAGACGGAAGCACCTTGGTGAATATATCAGCAGTGTTGGCCCGAGTGGCCACGTGAGCAAGACGAAGCTGACCACGCTGCTGCAACTCTCGAGCCAGGAAGTAACGCAGAGCGATGTGCTTCGTTCTGTGCTCCAGTCTGTGCTCCTGACACAAGGCAATGGCGGCCTTGTTGTCGACGTACAGCACTGGAGGAGAACGAGGTCGCTCTCCCAAGTCGGTCAGCAGGTAGGTGAGCCAGCGTAACTCCTGTGCAGCCATGGCTGTGGCGTAGATCTCAGCCTCACAACTGGAGCTGAGAACTGAAGACGAGCGTGTAGAACGCCAAGAAACCGAACCAGAGCCAAGGCTGAAGGTGTAACCCTGTGACGACCGCTGCGTAGCCTGGTCGTCAACCCAAGAAGCGTCCGAGTGCCCAGTGAGGACAACGTCGCCCCGTCCTCCAAGCACGAGCCCCATGCCCGATGTACTGCACAAGTAGCGCAGTACCCTCTTAGCAGCATCCATGTGCACCTTTCGGTGCCGACCAGGAGCCACGTAGCGAGCCAGAAGGCCAAGAGGGTACGCAAGGTCAGGACGAGTGCAGGTCACCAGGTACATGGGGCAGCCCACTAGCTCTGGGTAAGGACCACTCGGCTCTACGGACTCGTCCGAAGGTGGAGCTGAGAGCGAGTGACCTGTAGCCAGAGGAGTGGCCTGTGCCGAGGACCAGGTGAAGCCGAAGCGCTGAAGGACCTGCTGCACCATGTGTGACTGAGTCAGTGTGATGGTGCGGCGTGCTCTGTCCCGGGTGATCTGCAAGCCAAGGTAACTGCGCAGCTCACCCAGGTCTGTGCACGTGCGTCTCTTCTGCAGCTCCGACTTCACCAGGGCGAGAGCCTCAGTGTCAGCAGTGGCAAAGACCAAGTCGTCAACGTACACGAGGATGTAGAACGGCGGCAGCGAAGTGTCGGTGCGGAGAAACAGCGACGGGTCAGCAGTCGACGGAGCAAACCCAAGAGCCGCAAGTGTCGTCCTCAGTGTGTCGTGCCACTCACGTGGCGCCTGGCGGAGACCGTAGACCGGCCGCCGGAGGCTCCACTGGGTACCAGGAGGGAACGACCCAGTGAAGCCAGGTGGGCGGCGCAGCCAGATCTCCTCGTGCAGGCTGCCCTGTAAGAAGGCTGTGCTGAAGTCAAGAGAGTGAAGCTCGTAGTCACGCTGAGCGGCAACGTGCAGCAGCACCCGAAGAGTGGTCATCTTCGGGGTGGGGGAGAAAGTCTGGAAGAAGTCTACTCCCTCTCGCTGACTGAAACCTCGTGCAACGTAACGCGCCTTGAAGACAGGCGGAGAACCCGGCGGCCGCTTCACCCTGAAAATCCACATGCCACTGACGATGTTCGCCCCAGGTGGGGGAACCTCGTCGACGTAAGTGCCTGTGGACTTCCAGGATGCCATCTCTACGTCCATGGCTGTCTGCCACTGAGAGGAGTACTCACCCGCTATCGCCTCAGCGTAAGAGCACGGGGTCGGGATGTCTGGAGCATCCGGGTCTCCCTCAGGGGCAAGCAGCATGGACACGAGATGAGGCGCAGCGGCTGCAAGACACTCAAGGTCCTCCTGCCTGTCCTCAAGGACGTCCGTGCCAAGAGAACACTCACCCCCGACGGACGGAGGACAGACAGACTCAGACTCAGCAACATGACTAGCGGCGTAGTCTAGACGACAGGCAGCAGCAAAGTCAACAAGCTCAGCGACTAAGGCAGACGCAGCAGCAGACTCAAACGACGGGTCAGTGACAACAGTGGCTAGCAGACGCGCGACAGTAGGGTGCTCAGCACGAAACCGGTCAGACTCAGGGTCCGCAAGGACAGGCAGAGAAGACGCAGGAGGAGACGGCAGAGGAACACGCTGCGAAGGAGAGGAAGGACGGCGGACTACGAGGTCGGGCTGACGCGGACGAGGAACACGACGACCGGACCAACCAGAACGGACAGGCGAGACAGGACACGACGCAGGCTCACGACGCTCAGTAAGACTCCCTGTCTGCTCAGTGTAAGGAGAAGGAGCAGGCAGCGGTGAGCCAGGCTGTAACGGAAGACCAGTAGACGAAGGGAGACTAAGAACCTGGCGAAGCACAGAGTCAGGCGGTGGCTGAGACGACGGAGACGGTGGAGCGAAGAACAGGCGCGGCTGTGCAGGGACACCTGCACCAGCAGCTCCAGTACCCCCAGCAGCTCCAGCACCTCCAGCAGCTCCAGAACCCTCAGCGCCAGCTCCTCCAGGACCAGCTCCACCAACAGCAGCACCCCCAGAACCAGCACCTCCAGTCCCAGGGTCTACAGCCTCCGTGTCTCCAGCAGCAGCACCCCCAGACCCAGGGTCTCCAGTAGTAGCACCCTCAGGCTCAGCACCTCCAGCCCCAGCAGCTCCAGTACGTCCAGTACGAGCACCTTCGGGACCAGCACCACTCCCAGCTCCAGTGACGTCAGCAGAAGTACCTCCAGCGGCAGAGCCCCGAGCTCCAGAGGCGCGACCCTGACGGCGACCGTACCAGTCGTGCAGCTGCTGTGAGGTGAGAGGCACACGCGGACGAAGGCGGCTACTCCAAGGAGACCGCGTAACAGCAGACTCAGAACCCTCAGCGCCAGCACCCGCAGCAGCTCCAGAACCTCCAGTGCCAGCACCCTCAGCAGCTCCAGAACCTCCAGCTCCAGCGCCACCAGCGCCAGCACCTCCAGCAGCTCCAGAACCTCCAGCTCCAGCACCCTCAGTAGCTCCAGAACCTCCAGCTCCAGCGCCACCAGCGCCAGCACCTCCAGCTCCAGCGTCACCATCGCCAGCACCTCCAGCAGCTCCAGAACCTCCAGCTCCAGCAGCCTCAGCAGCTCCAGAACCTCCAGCAGAAACAACTCCAGTAGCAGAGTCACCAGCTCCAGCGCCTCCCGCAGCAGGGCCCCTAGCTCCAGCAGCGCGACCCTGACGGTCAACGTACCACTCAAGCAGTTGCTGTGGGGAGAGAGGGAGTCGACGACGAGAGTGCAGCGGCGAGGCACCAGCGGAGCGACTACGGAGACGGCCGCTCCAGGGAGACTGCTCACCAGACGCCTCAGCGCCCCCGGGTGCAGCACCCCCAGACTCAGTACCCCCAGGCTCAGCACCCCCAGACTCCTCACGCCCAGGCTCAGCACCTCCAGTCTCCGCACCCCCAGGCTCCGCACCCCCAGGCTCCGCACCTCCAGGCTCCGCACCCCCAGGCTCAGCACCCCAAGGCTCCGCACCCCAAAGCTCAGCACCCCCAGCAGCAGCACCCCGAGCAGGACCACCCTCAGCAGGACCTGAGTCACCAGTGACCTCAACCGGCTCAGTCAAGGGAGGAGGGTCTACCTGAGACACACCTGAAGGAGCAGGACCGGGAGCGGGGAGGGGGTCTACCTGGGGAGCACCTGGAGCGAGGAAGAGCGGCGGGGGGGGGGAGAGGGGCAGTGCGGTAGGGGAAGAGACGGTAAAAGGGAACCGACTCGTCGAACGTGACGTCCTGAGAGGGGAAGACACGGCGCGAGGTGGGGTGGTAAAACTGCCAACGAGGCGCGTCAGGGACAAAGCCAAGGAAGACACAGGGAACAGCGCGGGCGGAGAGCTTGTCCGCGGTGGTATCGCGGACAAAGGCACGAGCACCCCAGACCCGAAAACGCGACGCATCGCCAACCTTCCCCGTCCACACCAGTGTGGGCGAGGTCTCCGGCAAGGAGACACGGGGCCAGAGGTTGAGCTGATGCGCGGCGTACCGGACCGCAAACGGCCACAGAAAATGGGGGGCAGCCGCATGGATCGTGGAGGTACGAGCGACCTCCATGACTAAGCCAATGCGGCGCTCAGCAACCCCATTCTGCTGCGGAGAGGCCGGAAGCGTGAACGTCTTGCTGATGCCGTGCTCCGCACAGAAGGCTGCCAAGAGGTCTGAGGAGAACTCACCACCTCTGTCAGAGTGCAGACATAGGACAGGAAAGTCCGACTGGAACCGCTCGCGGAGCTGGAGACGAACAGCGCGGATCCGGGGGATC